CAGGAACATTTTCTTCTAGATTCGTTTGTATGGGACAAATTTATAATTTCCCCACTCTCCGTTCTTCCTTATATCTACAGCAGAAAGTTACTCACCACCTTTATTTTTCAATTTTGTTGTTCTGTATGGGACAACGGCAATAAAGATTATTGTATTGTATTTCACAACCTCTGTGGCATATGCAAAATTGGCTTCTCTGGAATGGAAGAAACTTCAAGTTCATTTGCATTTGTAAACACTGCTTAATTTTTTTCAGAGCAATAGCATATCAGTGTGAACCAGATGGTACACAGGAACAGCAGCAGATACTCATATGAACGTAGCTGGGATGAGTGGGTGCTTTCTCTGCGCATTGCCTGGCTCATGGTAACATTCAGGGTTGGCCCTTCCATTAGGTAAATGAGGAAGCTGCCTCAGGTGGCAGTGAGACAGTGGAAGACAGAGTTGTGTGTGTGGCTGTATACACACCATACATTTAAAGCAACATCCCACATCTTGCAAAGACTCCTGAGAACTGCAGTTTGTTAAGGGTAGCTATGTCAGGGATAAACTACAGTTCTCATTATTCTTTTTTGAGGGGTGACTGCTTGGAAGAAGCCCTGGGGAAGAGGAGGCATGGAGATAGATGGCTTTGAGGAGGTGGGGACTTTCAATCTCAGCAACTGGTTGATGGAGTAAGATCTACAGGACATGAGCTGCTGTGCTCATTAGGCCTGAAACTCTGTCCAGTGTGAAGACTGTGTTTCACTAATGAAGAGTTAATTCCAGCTTTGAACTGGGTGATGTATTCATCAACTGGCTCTGTGACAGTGGGGGAAGAGATCCTTATCTTTATTGAGCAAACCAGATCAGCCCAAAATATTGACAAAGTTGCCTTTAATAATTTTGTAACTTAAAAAAAAATCGTACATGACTGAAGGTCATAATAGTTTGGAGGTAACAGGAAACCTAGGCTAACAACATTCTGCAATAAATTATTATTGCATCCAGCTGATGAGGAAGGCATGATACAATCTTATTGACATTGACATCTTGCCCAAGCGGTAACTACACAACGCAAAAGAGAACAACAGCAGCAGTAATTATATCCACGTGATTCCGCAAACACAAGTTCTCTCTGAGATTTCTTTTCCATGGATAACTATCTCACACCATTACTCACACCTGCTAAATCAGTGCTGCAAATACCTCCTAGTCATTGCATAGGAGGTTCAAAGCTCCTAGAAGCTGTTAGCATGCAACAGTGCTCACACTCCAGGAGCGGCTTTTACTGGCTGGCTAAACCAAGGGAGGGTAGCTGATGGGTTTCAACCCTCAGTGAGTTAAGGACTTCCCCTGCATGTGAAGACAGGCTCTGGCAGATTGAGCAGATGAGACCAATAGCAGGTGCAACAGTCCAGAAGGCAGTTTCTGCATGTGCTATATAGAGGGAAGTAAGGAGTAAATGGGGCTCATCGACCTGGGAAGGTAGCCCATCTAGAAGGAGGAAACCTCCACTGCCTTGCGGGATATCTTTGGGAGAAGAAAAGGCTAAGCAGTAAAACCTACACAAATTCTGAGTGGAGTCCCTAAGACGGTTGGATGGCGGCGCCTTGTACGCCTCCTTCTGGCAACTCCTGCAGTCAAGCTGGTACCAAATATATTGCTCTGCTAGCCTTGGACCACAACAGAGAGGCCGAGAAGGGGGTCTTGTGCCTCGAGGAGGTCACTTCAGTGCTGCTAATGCAGTGGTTTGATTTCACCCCCAGAGACCCACTCCATTGTCTCTCAAGACAGTTGAGTGCCAACAATTAGTTGTGTAATACAAAAATAGTGTGTAGCAAACTTACAAACAAATAAAAAGACAGAATTAAAAACTGAGCAGCAAATAACACTAGTAAAATTAATGACCTCAAGAACGAGAGAAAATGAACAGTTCTAATAGTATTTAGAAGAGAAAAACAACCCCCCTTGCTAAATGCAATCTTTTAGCATTACATACACAAGCATCTAAGTAACAAACAGATAGGCCAAATCAACTAAGTGAGAGGGGGTAGTGTTGTAAGTTTGGGGGGCAAGACTCCCCTAAGGGTTAGAGTTTAAGCCAGGGTAGGCAACCTAAGGCCCGTGGGCTGGATGTGGCCCAATCGCCTTCTCAATCCAGCCCACAGATGGTTTGGGAATCTGTGTGTTTTTACATGAGTAGAATGTGTCCTTTTATTTAAAATGCATCTCTGGGTTATTTGTGGGGCATAGGAATTCGTTCATTTTTTTCCCCCCCAAAATATAGTCCGGCCCACCACATGGTCTGAGGGACGGTTGACCGGTCCACGGCAGAATAAGGTTGCTGACCCCTGGTTTAAGCAAACCTCTACATTCTTGAGTCTAGTAGGGGCTGGAGTTTAAACCAGTTTTTCCATTTCCAGGAAACTGCCTGGCAGAAGAAGCATCAAGAGGTAATCACTGAAATGGCAGCGTCATGAACCCATTAAAAAGGCCATTAACAGAGACTCTCTGGGCCGGGCAGAAAATGGGGAGAGCTACTTCCTGAGGTGAGAGATAGTAGAGACAAAAGGCCACAGTTTCAGGATGGAAGGGCAGAATTTTAGTGGGCAATGAGGTAAGTGAACAGGAATAAAAGTGTCAGTTTTGCAAGCTGGAGAGGTGAGGGAACCAAAGCATGAGGCAGGCAGTTTTTTATGCTGCAGAGAGGGTCAGACCCAATGGTTGTGGTCTCTTTACATTGGAGGATGCAGCAATGGAAGGAACAAAACTCTTAAGATGTGAATGCTTTCCTCTCTCCCCATCTAGACACAGGTTGCATATATGTGTAAATAATCCATGTACCATAAAGGCACAACAGACTCTGCTGTGCCTCTTTTTTCCAAAAGCAAACACAGACCCTGGGTTAACGCACCTGGGACCTCAGTATCTTGCACAGCCAGAGACTGCAGTGTCAGGTAACAATATTAAAAGAAAAACCCTTTCCCTTTTGCCTCCTCAAGGAAGGTCAGGAGGTTCAGTCCCTGCACACTCAAAGCAGCTGTGTTTCTGAGGAATAATTCTATGTCATAATATTCTCCCCACTTCTTTTTTTACACACAAAAGATATATTTATAAATAGAACCAATGTGCAAGAGGGGAGCAGGGCCATGCCAGATAGAAACAACCTGATGTTGCAAACATATTGGCCCTGATCCACAGAACCTTGCATGCGCCCCAGTTAAACAGGCACCCCATGTTTAGGGAGTGAGGAGGGGAGGGTGAAAGTATATTTCTTCCAGCCATGCTTGTTAAAAAAAATCTATAACATATTAAACATATAAGTAACCAAAACACACACACACACACACACACACACACACAGAGTGCCAATTACTTCCTGTGAATTATCAGGGGAGACTGATCTGGTTTCAGGCCTCACCCAAAGGCAATTGCTGCTATTGATCAATGTTTGTGCTGCTGGGCCATTGAGAAAGAGCATGCAGAAATACACACCCTTCCATAGAACTCCGCTGGGATGACCTGACACTGCGTCTTGTGAAAATAGTTTTCTTGATTAAAATAGAACTTTTCACATGAAGTTGCGAGTGGAATAAGCATTTCAACATAGAATTTAACAGGCAGCCAGAAAATGAATGTGATGAGCTTGGGAGAACCTTTTGACATTCCACAATCATAATCAAAGTTTCAGAGACACAGTCTCATGTTCACCCACAGCAGCTTTGCTTCCTTGTACAATACCACCTTCTCTTGGATATGACAAATCCATATTCACCCCCAGTGCTTTTTTTTTGGAGGCGGTATGTGCCGGTAGGCCTTACCAGCACCTCTTTCGCCCCCTGCACTACACCTTGGCCTGCTGCCACTTCCACAGCAGCAGACACAGCATCTTGGAGGTGCTTCGACACAACCCTTTTACAATCGCCAAAGCACCTTCCAGGAAGGTGCCTGGCGATCATAAAAAGGTCGTGCCAGAGCAGAGGCACTTTGGGGCAACACTTTTACAATCACCCAGAAGGCACTTTTCCAGGTTTCATCTGAAGTTTAAGTCCCACACCACAGTGCAAAGCAGCAAATGCTATCACAGCACTTCAGACCAATTGAAGTTATTTTTAATTGAACCTGGGCCTCTCTGGTCCAAGTCCAACACTTCACCATCAGCATTCCAGTGCATTTCCAAGAATGATTTTTAAAATATTTGTTTTCATTACACATATACGATAGCATTGCATTCCATGTTTATCAGACAAGGAGTTTCCCCAGGTTCTCATGTCAATATGGTACCTTCAAGTGGCTGAAACTCATTGGCATCTGCACAGCACTGCAGATGGGTATAACTCAGGTGCGATGACTGGCAGGGTCTGACTCACCTGCCTCAGCGGAGATCTTTCCTGCCCCAGCAGCAATCGTAAGCAAATGAAGTCCTCAGTGTTATTACAATGCAAGGGGTACCTTACACCTCCTAAATATAAGCACAAAGTTCCATTTCTGTTGTGCCAAGTATTTCATGTTGAAAAGACCCACACACAGGACACAATAGTAAGCCATGGCACTACCTATGAAGCTGTCCCAAGAACCCATCTTATTCTCCAGTGTATCACTTTTGAATGTTAGTGCACTAGAGAAAGAAAAGAATAAAATCAAATGGAAAGTAATCTGAATGAAAAGAATGAGAAGAGAAATGAACATACCATTTTTGGCTATCCGAGATCATAAAACCTTTTAAAATCAATCCTGAGTTCACTTGGCATCCTCAGTTATCTATTATGATCCTGTCCAAGGCTGATTTTTTGTTTCCAGTGGTGTTTATTCAAAGTTGCTTTCCCTCCACCAGCTGGACTGCTCTTAAGCACCAGGAGTAATAGATCAACTGCAGGGCCTGAAACCAAGATCCTCTCCCTCCCCACTTCCCCCTTCTAAAAAGGTCTTCAATGGAGAGAAATGCTGTGTTTCTACAGATGTTCCGAATAATTTTTTTACATTCTCTACTGTGCTGCAAAGCATCCATGACCACGATATATAATTAAATAGTAGATTTTATTGCAATAGTCAAACATGCAAAACAAAATGATTTTGTAGTTAGATTATAAATTAAATTGTATCCACAAAGTGTACAAAAATAAAGGGCTAAGTCAATATACAACAGAGAAAAGTTCTATGGGGGGGCTCCTTCAGGTAGAGCCAGCTCAACCAGACACCCATACAGGTTTTGGTACAGGTTTAGGGGTACTCTTGTTTTGGCTGCTCCCCCTCCTACTCACCCCCTTCCTCCCAACAGCCCCCAGACAAGGGACTTGAGGTGGTGGCACTGAGAGGACTGGAAGGCCCCCGGCGACATAGGGGTCGGCTTCAGCAAGGAGGGGCGAGTGCTCACAGGCTGGCTCTAACCCGGCAAAAGGAGGAGGAGGAGCAGCACCATCGCCTCCACCGCGGCCGCCCCCAGACTTCCCTCCCTGGGCACTGGCAGGGAGAATGATGGAGCTCCAGTCCGCACTGCTACTGCGGAGACAGCTGGCATGTCGATCTGTCCATCGGTCAGTCAGGACAATGCAAAACGTTTAGGGGTACGTGTCCCCCTCCGTCCCCATAGAGAAAAGCACTGGAAGTATCATATCACCATTCTTCATACCCATGCAGCTTTTCTCCCAGCCATTTACAGCAGCATATGGGTCTTCGCTAGTCTCCTGTGTTGTGCTGGTATTTTGTGTTGTGGAATAAAGGCCATGTTGGTTCCCATTTATACTCCATGGAGATGGGAGTCTTATTATTTGCAAATGAATGCAACCGGAGCCTTTGAAAGCCACCAGCAGCATTCTGGGCCATTTACTCTCCTAGAGAGTATTTCAGGATGGCAGGTATCAAAGCCAGCGGAAAGCCCCCTCAACTCTACTGTGGCAGAGACCGTATTTAGAAGGCAGAAACACTGCTGGTTTTTCTCCCCACCCCACCCCCCGTCTTGGATTCAATTATTACCGGCTTTCAATATAAAAGCTGCTTGTGCTATTACAGAAGCTTCATATCAAACCACTTTTCATTTATGTACACACTACAGATTCCAGCTCGGTAGAGTCAAAGAATTAATCACACGGCATGCCTCAGGCCCGAGAAATGTTTGATTGATGTGGACACAGGTTAAGGAAAGGTTGCTATGCGTGCCGTTCTCTTGCCCCTTGCCAGGACGATCCTCCTAGCCTTCTAGCCCAGTCATTTCTCATCCAGCCGGCAATAAAGGTACATCGCTACAGCCATTGCTGCAACCTGGAAAGAGGAGAAAAAGCTTGAGTTTCTATATATCCCACCCAAGTGCTTTACACAGGCACTGTAGAATTAAAGAAAGTGAAGGCAGCTCCTTGTGCTCCTTATTACATCGAAGAGGAAGCAGGATAACACTGTAAACAAAGACCTGGCACAGCCTTAAAAAGAGAGAAGATTTGATCAAATTTCTAGCCTGCAATTTAAGATCAGAGAACCGTCCAATTCAGGATGAGAGGAGCTACCCTTCCTGCCCACACATTAACAACCAGTTTCCACCATATGAGAAAGCAATATCTTCCTCCAAAATTCTTGGGTTTTCCTCCCACCCCTGGGCCAAAAGCAGCCAACAGCATGCCAAGGAAGTCTGCCCAGCAAGGACAAGGCCAGGCTCCTCCACACACAATACAGTAGCACTTGCACATCTGTTGTGCAATATGACAGTCACCTGGAAGAGGTTCCTGGTGTGGGAGCTGGAGTAAGGGATCAAGTCTTTAAGAATCCAACAGCAGACATGTTCCTTCCTACCCTAGCACTGCTTATTCCTTTCTCCTCTTGCAACTTACAGGACTATTCACATCACTATATATCTAACTGTGAAGTAGTAACATGCTGCCCAGTGTGAAATGGGTTGTTTGCCATTTCATGTTCTGGAATGAATAGCCACGGGTGGCTCTTTAGGCCTAAGCTTCAAATATCCTGTGGCATGCAAGCAAGAAAAGGTGCCAGGATTATGATGGTGGTAACCTTTTGATCATCAAGTGGTCACCGGGTACATGACTAGGAACCACAACCAGCAATAACATCTACCGTTACATCTCATCATTGGGGGCAAATGCTTCAGTACAAAGAGCATCGTCTTTCGTGGCCACCAGGTCACAACAGTTGAATGGTGGCAGCAGCAGCACAAATCCATTCAGTCAACCTACCTCCAATGCACAGATCCCAGCTGCAACTCCACCTACTACACCAGCATTCTTGCGTATTTCGGACAGCAACTGAGGGAAGCAGCCCTAGGAATTTTTTGAAAAAGAAAATAGTATAAAAAGTAAGTCAAATCCACTGTAACGCCATTTGACATGATCAAGCGACACAAATCAGAAATGAGTAATAGTTCCCCTTAGAGGAATTTCATAGGGAAATTACCCAGATGCTCCAAGAAGACTTTGATTTTTGGGGGGAGGGTGGGTTCAATCATTTGGCAAAACTCACTGACCAAGGCCACGGGAAGCAAAGAGGGAGAAAAGTATTACCTACATGCAAAGCTGCAGAGGTTTCCAGGTGCTAGCCAGAGTCAGCAACAACTTTAGACTGTAGTAGCACCAGATGGCCAGTCGTCATAGACGACACCCAGGAGCAAGGCCAAAGGACACCCACCCATCATTATATATTTCAAAATGTTTACACCCCACCATTTAAAAACAAAACACACATTTTAATACACATATTGGGGGCAGCAGTACAGTCCTCTACCAACCATCAAAGGTGGTGAGGGGAAATGCAACAGACCCACTTAAAATTTGTTGTGGTTCCCCAGAAATCTCATCCCCAGAGACTCTGGGAAGTCCCCCAAATCTGCCAGCAAATTCTAGTTCAGCTGGAATTCACCAAAAGTTTTGTGTAGAATGCTTCTCAGCAGTGAGATTGACAGCTTGTCGGAAGATGAACTGTTACCCTCATGGCAAGATGCACTTCCCCAAGACAGAGGCTTCATAAATACCCAGCATCTTCCCTCAACACACAAGAGTCATCAAAGGTTATTCCCCACCTATTCACCGTCCTTCACATCAAAATGCAGCGAGAAAAACAACAGCACTTATTTGTTTTCTTACTGGCATAGCTTTTGCCTGGGCGTCGTCTTCAGTGCAACGAGGCACACTTCCACAGCAGAATGGTGGATACTGGTTGTTTTTCTCAAAGTAGTAGGAACCAGTGAAGTCTGTGTAATTCATTAGGCCACAGCATTTCAACTGAAGAGGAGAATGTAAAGAGAGAGAGAGAGAAAGGGGGGTAACTCACCAGAGTATAGCCTTTACATCCTAGAGTCCTAAATGGCAACTGGTAATCAACTAATTGTCCCAGTGTCTCATTGGGAGAGCCTTTTCTTCAAGACGGAGAAGAACTATGTGGTAACTTAGACAACAATGACCCCTCTGAGACATGAATCTGCAAAGAACTGGAAACGAATGACTCACACTTACTCTAACACTCCCTCACATTCTTTCTAGAAACTGTAAATACAATGTACATACACAGAGTGCTTACACATCATGCACTACAAGACCCAACATTTCAACCAATTGAACATGTCTCTGAAAAGTAAGAGATTTTGTAAATGCATCAGCAACAACCATTTTGCTTTCACATTATTGCATATTTATTTATTTATTTACCGTATTTATTTTTCAATTAGCAATCATTGCGCCTCAGATTAACTTCATTGGCTATGATACTGCCACTGTGCAAAGCTGCAATATTGCAACTGTATCAAATTTTGTTTCACACTTTCTCTCACGTTTCAGAACTTTATGTCCACATGTTTTGTTCTACCCTTAAACTGATCAGACTCTGCCATTGAAATGGTTGCTTGATTGTCTTCTGCTACCTGTATTGGAAGTATACACTTGACTCCTATGTCAGTAAGAATTTTTACGTAACATACCAATTCATTACACAGATCTGATATGCCATTATATTCAGCCTCTGTGGAAGAATTAGCTACACTCCCTTGTTTTCTGGAGTTTTACCCAACTAGGGAATTGCCAGATTTAAACACTAACCCAGGCACTGACTTTCTGCCTGGTAAATTTGCCCAATCGCTGTCTACAAAACACTTTAGTTCCTCTGGTCCTGAGAACAACAACTTAAGACAATAATCACGTGTTTTCATATGTGAAAACATGAGTTAACCCTTTCTAAGCCACTTCAGTGTGGGACGCGGGTGGCACTGTGGGTAAAACCTCAGTGCCTAGGACTTGCTGATCGTAAGGTCGGCAGTTCGAATCCCCGCGGCGGGGTGAGCTCCTGTCGTTCGGTCCCAGCTCCTGCCCACCTAGCAGTTCGAAAGCACCCCTAAGTGCAAGTAGATAAATAGGTACCGCTTTATAGCGGGAAGGTAAACGGCACTTCCGTGTGCAGCACTGGTGCTGGCTCACCAGTTGCAGCTTCGTCACGCTGGCCACGTGACCTGGAAGTGTCTTCGGACGGCGCCGGCTCCCGGCCTCTTGAGCGAGATGAGCGCGCAACCCTAGAGTCGGTCACGACTGGCCCGTACGGGCAGGGGTACCTTTACCTTTAAGCCACTTCAGTAGGATTACTTACAAATTTACTCAATATTCCAAGAGAATTACTGAAAGAGGGATCACTTTGCAGCTTAAAAAAACAAACAGCAATCCAACAGCCTTGCCTCCTAGGGTTACCCATTCCTCCAACATATTAACACAGGCAGCCCTTGCAGCTATCTGACTAGGACAGCAGCCCAAGCATTAGGACCTAGAGTTCACTAAGATTCTTCCCTTGCTTGTTATGTGTCATGGCACTGGAATGGGCCTTTCAGCTCAACCCTAGGCTCAAACTTTCTTCTAGGCAACTAAGCCTTCAGGATCAGACAACCCAGCTTGCTCCCAATAGTTATTATGTATATATAGTATCTCCCTATTCTCCATGTATTCTCCAATAAGGCCGGCTCCACTGCAATGATAAACTCAGCTGTCCTGGTGGGCAGTTCTATCCTGAACATTCAGGAACTGAAATTACTATTCACCTTCAAAATTGGTTCTCCAGCTTCTGACATGTATTAAAACCCCTTGTAAACTCTTACTGCTCTTCTCTAAATGCTCTCTTTGTACCCACTTCATCAATTGCAAATAAAAGCCACACCCAGTAGTTTTAAAAGACAGGCTGAGTCCAAGAATAAGAATGCCATTGTCCCCTTTGGTATCGTGCAGGATACTATAAAAACAACCCTGGAACGCACTTGGGTTTCCATCTAAGTCAAGCAGAATACCAAGGACAATCAATCATCACTGCCACTTTAATGATTCTTCATAGTCCCAAGCTGTTCTGTGGACCAACTTACATCTTCCATTGTTTTGTTCCATACTGTAGTGAGGTCGGGGGACTTCCCATACTCTTTTTTCAATAACTGTGTCACTGTTCCTTGAAGTATAGTCTCTGCCTGGAAGGAGGTGGGAGATAATGGACAACAGCATGTCAGAACACACTGGTAAACGCAAAGCCCAAATTGCAGGCAGTGCACATCCCGAACAAGATCTGTTGGGAACGGTAACCTGAATTCCTTTCCTAAAGAGCAACATTTTTGGAGCTTTTGTATATTTAGGGTTGTATACATTTAGGGTTGCCATATTTTGAAGAGCAAAAAAAGAGGACGCTATGACGACTCTCACTTTAAATACCCTTACTATATGTAGGCTATAGAAGCTGCGATATATTGCTGAGGGGGGACAGGAGAAGAGAAGAGGAAAGCAAGTCTTCAGCCACTGTTATGTCTATATCTCATCCAGAAAGTATAGCCAGAGACATTTTGGCAAATTTAAAAAATCCACCCGGACAGAAATTTTACCCCTGAAAAGGAGGGCATGTCCTGGAAACAGAGGACACATGGCAACCCTATTAACCCCTAAGCCTTAAAAGCCATTCTGGTCTAAACCCTATGCCTTAAAGGCCAAACTTTAATATCTTTTTTTATCTGTCTGCCCCATTCTTTTTATGATATGGGGCTGTGGGGTAAGAAGGGCCCCAGATCTTCCCTGCCTTATTCCCCCCCCCCATACTCTCACCCAATTCACCTTTAGAATAGCCAGGTTCGCTTTTGGTAAAACTGCCTGAAGTTACCCTCATTATATTATTTAGTAGTAGTAGAAGTAGTAGTTGTTGTTGTTATACACTGCCCTTCATCCAAAGATCTCAGGGTGGTTCACAAGATAAAAAAAGATATTAAAGTTTGGCCCAGTCACCTTCCATTTTATACATGAGCAAACATGGCTGTTCAGTTACTTTTAGGCTGCATACACCCTATAATTTTAAAGCACATTGGAAGCACATTGTTCCTCCTCAAATAATTCTAGGAACTATAGTTCACCCCTCACAGAGTTACAATTCCCAGCAACCCAGCAAGGAATTCAGGCTATGCTACCTGTGGATAACAACTAATTTTTTTTTGTCAGGGATACACACAGCAACAACATGATATATTGCTAGGAAAAGCAGGAACTGAAAACAGATCGTTCTGAAAATGGGAGGTTGAAGTGCAAATATTAAACCGTGACAAACAAAGCTGGTCTTTGACTCTTATTTACATTTAAGTTAAAGAACCCTTGCAGGAGGGGGGAAGAGAATGTTTCAGGTTTCCTTCACCCTTAATTCCCTTTTGATGTTAACAATTAGGATCTCCCTGAAGCTCTTGCAAATTAGCCGGACCCATGATTCTGTGTGTATCAGCAAAATAATCGAAAGTTTAAATGAATTTAAACAAAACAAACATGGTTGTTGCCCCATCACACCCAGTTTGTTTCTAGACAGATGAAGGTCCAAACTAGGAGCAGCCATCTCTTCTCATAGGTCAAGAAAATCATCCTGGTATAAATTTTAATTTCTCAATAAATAAATAGGAAAGTCTCTTTGTATTGCCGCATATGCCTTTATTTGGAGATTTGTGTACCACCCCAACCTAGAAGTTCCAAGCCATTAAGTAAATTAAAACCAATTCATTGAACGAAGGTATTTAATGTTCCCAAATGCAACATACAAAAACCATTAAGATATGTAAATGTCAAAAACACTGATGTAGGGATTTTGCTGCTTTCAAGAAACTTTGGCTTGAACTACTCTTTGCAGCATTGCTCAACTGCACACCTTCCCCTAAAAGAGCCATGTGATACAGTGGTTGGAGTGTTGTTCAAAGGCTTGGGAGACCAGGGTTAAAATACTGTACCCACTCCACCATGAAGCTCAGCAGGTGACTCTGGGCCAGTCATGGTCTCTCAGCCTAACCTACCTCACAGGATTGTTGTGAGGGTGAAGTGGGGAGGGAAAGGACCATGTCTGCAACCCTGAGCTACTTGGAGGAAAGGCGAGGTTCTAAATGTGATTGTGAATAAATAAATAATAGCATAGCATTATTTCAGCAGAGGCTAGGAAATAAGGTGTGTGTTTTGTTTTGTTTTGTTTTGTTTTGTTTTGTTTTGTTGTTTTGTTTTGTGTTTTGTTTTGTTTTCCCCCAATACTGAAAGCCTATCACTCAAAGAGAGAGTGTTTTGAGACTTATAAAGGCACTTACACCAAATGCTTTGAAGCAGCCGGAAGCTGAAACATCTACAGGCTAGGACAGCTACTTCAAGACTAAGCCACTTGTTCCATACTCATCCCTCTACTCCATGTTACTTACAAGAGAAGTGTAGACCAGGGCCACCACTGCAGCAGCAACTTCTATTATGAAGATGATCAGGACAATTGAGAAGAACTAGGAGGGAAGAGAGGATAGGGTCAGATTGTTCACTCCATAAAGTGTCAAATACAAGAAAAAGGCAAGGACTGTTTGGATCGCTTGGACAAGTATGCTATACAGCTATCTTACCTTTCCAAGGATACCTAGCTACAAGTCTTCAAGAATTTGCAAATGGCACAAAGAGGGACTATCAGCACCATGTTCTAGTGGGGATTTTCCACTGCTCTGGACTTCCTTGTGTAGTATGAGGAGACACAGACCTGGATCTCCCACAAGAAAGAGACACAAGCACTTCTTAAAATCATAGCCTGGCTTCCTAGATCTTTCAGCATACTGAAAGACATTTTCATCTCAGTGCAGCAGTTCTGACTTTTCTCAGATCACTCTAGAACACATATATAGCCACAACTTCCTCATCAGATGAGAAGGCTTAATATTCACATGTCTGTTTTCTCTTAGCAAGAAGAGGAAGGAAATGGGGATCAAGAAACATGACGGCAACTCCAAGTACCACTATTCTCTCTATGGGTAAAAGATTTGATGACTTAGGATCCCTTCCTTCTTGAGTCAAGCATTCAGACAGGTTGTCTGACCCAGGGGTAGCCAATCTGGCACCTTCCAGATTGGTTGTTGACTACAGCTCCCATCATTCCTGGCCACTGGCTATGCTGCCTGGGGCTGATGGAAGCTGAGACTCCAACATCATCTGGAGGGCCACATATTAGCCAACCCTGCTATAAGAGGGCAGCTTTCCCCAATGTCTTCAGTGCTCAAGTTTATCAACAAGCACTTTTCCTTAAAGCAACACAACTGTACACATCTGCAGCAGGCAAGAGATGGAAATTGCTTAATGTCTGCATTTTACCATGATGAGGAGGCACTTGCTCTCCTTCTGAGCGCCACAGCATCCTAGGAAGCCCAACAAAAACAGGACGGCTCCAATGGCAATGAGAAGGTAGCCCACATTCACAAACTGCAGGACACTGGAGGACAAAGGGCCAAACGTGCTGACAAAGTTGCTACTGTCAACACTGACCCAGATCCCAATGCCCAGGAGTGCTCCTCCGCCAATCTAGGAAAGAAAGAAAGAAAGAAAATAGAGTTATTTCAAAATGTAGGTACTGGAAACACAGACAGTGACCCATAATTATGACACTTTAGGCCTATGCAACAGATGGCACCCACCTAGCTGCAAACAGCTCACTAGGCTACATATTGTATGTAGCCTGTCAAGTTGAAGCACTAGACACCTTCCCCTCCACCCCATTTTTGCAGTCCCAGGCAGGCAACAGAAAATGAGATTCATGAGACTTTCATAGGTCATCCTACATAGCTGAAGGGCTGCATTTAACTTGGCAAGGCACAAGGTGTGCAGGTTTGCTGTACCTGAACCAGACAGGTTAGTGGAAACAACCTTTACAACTATTATTAGTCGTATAAAAGACTCTATACAACAACAGCTGCCCTTTGAAGCTTTTTCTTTTAAAAAAGAATGAAACTTCTCACAAGACATTAGGAAATGTAGGCTTCTGCCTGCCGGCCATCACTGGCAAGAGTGCAAGCCTTCTCCTATTCATTTTATTAATAAAACAAAGAGCCACCCCAACGCTGAGAGTGCTTAGGGAAACAATTGGGAATATCAGTAGTAACTATTAATTCCAGGGCATTTCCTAATTTTTCTCGGTTCTCATCAACAAAAATGTCTAGTCATGAAGATGCAGGGGGTCAAGAGTCCACAGATCAAGTTTGCATGAATTTTGGCTTTTGTTTCATATACAATTGTACCAGAATGTTGTTAATCTCTATTTCATAACCTAAGGCTATGCTAGGGACATGTGACCAGAATATCCTTAAAAGTATTAACTGCCAATACAGAGGCCCTGGATCAGTTTAGGACCGTGATCTTGGAAGTGGTGGGTGGGCTGTCTATATGTTTTCCCCTGTGGAGTAGATAGCCAACTGGGAGAAGTGGCACAGGCAAAACTTACTGCCCCCCCCCCCCCACAATCCCATTATGATTTGTGGCTTAAGACAGCTTATTTGCTTTTTTTTTTAATGGAACATCCTGATCATAATTCTCCCATATCACTTCTATCTTGTGAAGTACAGAGGGACAACGTGTGTAGGAACTCATTGTTCACTGGTTTCTGGAGTTCAAACAAATAAACTGCTTTTGGGGGAAGGAGAAGCAGCAGAGAGAGATACAAAAAACAACAACATATCCTTGGTTTTGTCCACATTATTTATGCAGTGCTCTCGGTAGGTATATACCTGTGTTTTGTATTGCCTTTTTTATTTTGTAAAATGCACTGTGACCATTTTTGGGGGAAGGGCAGTATAGATATCCCTTAATAAACCAACCATCAAATAAATACTGGTGCAGGTGTTCTGAAGGGATTGGGACCTTAGTGGGAAAGACAAGTCACACACACCTTGTTGAACAGAGGTTCAACAGGCACCACTTTTGTGTTTTAATCTCATCTATCATATCTATAACAGCTAGGAACCTACCCTTTTTCACACAACAAATAGTTTTAGTTGGCTCCTATGTCAGGAATAGAATACTGAAATAAGCAACTGGAAGGGCAATGCTGTTAGGTCACAATCCTATTTAATTTGGAGTAAACCCCACTGAACTGAGCAGGAGTCACTTCTGACTAGACATGTATAGGACTGTTAGTGGCTGAAGAAGCACAGCCTTCTCCTCTCGACTAAGGAGAGACAGGTTAATTCTAAGTTTAGAACAAGGGTGTCAAAACTAGACAGGACTTCTAAGAGCTGTGTGGATGATGTTTCCGCAGGTGCAGCTTCTTACACCTGTATGGCAAGGTGTGCTTTGCCAGAACTCCCTCTTCTACCTAATCATTAGTGGTTTGCGAATTATTTGCAAACGTTCCAAGGTCTCTTGAATTACAGCAAGCCAAGAGGTTGAAGAGTCCCAACACAACAAGAGTCTTTGTTCACTTCCTGATTCCCTCTCTAGGCAAGTCATATCAAAAACCCGCTCCCAAGGCCTTGGTCCCAGTCCTTTGTTTATTTAAAAAAGTGAAGTATGCATTTGGCACCATGCAGAAATGGTCCCAAGCCATTCAAAGCAATTATCCTTGGCCGGAGCTGCCAGTTTTGTTTGCCCTCAAATAAAAGGGCAGGGCTTGCACTGATTCAGTACACACTGAAGAGCAGATTCCAGGTAGGACCTTGTTAATGAAGTGGAGGAAGAGTCAAGACAGCAGCGTTCCACCTTTGTCCTTTGGCAAAGGTGAAAGAGCCAAAGATCAGCTATGGCAGTGGGGCAATGATGGGGCAGGGCCAGAGGCAAAAATGAGCAGGGCAATGAATGCAAAATTCACCCTTGCACAGAGGCAGTGGCGGATCTTCATGCTCCAGCACCGGGGGGGGGGGGGGAGAGCAGGCAGGGGTGGGGCTGGCGTGTGTCCTGGGGGTGGGGCGTGCCACCCGTAAGGGCGTGGTATGTGTCCTGGGGGCATGGCATGCCGCCCGTAGGGGTGTGGTGCCCAGCGCAGGTGGGGGAAACAGCCGCGATGGCACCCCACCGGGATCACGCACAGAGGGCTAGTTTCTTTTTTTTTTTTTTTTACTGATAAATTTTTATTGGTATTATACATATATACATATAAACTTATACAAAGTCCAATACTTAAATTACACATAATATATTCATTCCATAAATCATAAATACATTTATTTTAGGCTCTGCCAAGCCTTGAACTTCCTTCCACTCCTTTGGTAAGTATCAAATAGACTTTATATTCACGTATTTTATCTCTTTTACATAATAACCTTTTACTGTTAGAGTTATTCCAATCCCGCCAGTGTCGTTTAAAGTTTAGTCCCAATATATATCCAATATTTAATCCAATTATCATGAAATTTCTGTTCATCTTGATCTCTTATTCTTCCTGTTATTCTAGCGAGCTCGGCATAATTTGTTAATTTAATCTGCCAATCACTTATATTAGGTATGGCGTCCGTTTTCCAATTTTGTGCTAACATGATTCTTGCGGCTGTTGTGGCATATAAAAATAGTACCTTATCTTCTTTTTTGATTTCTTTACCTGTCATTCCTAGCAGAAAGGCTTCGGGTTTTTTGGGAAACGTGTATTTAAAATTTTTTTTAAGCTCGTTATAAATCGATTCCCAAAAGCCTTTCACTTTGCTGCATAACCACCACATATGGTAGAAGTCACCATCTACTTCTCCACATTTCCAACATCTTTTGTTCTTTAACCTATAGATCTTAGCCAGTTTCACTGGTGTGAGGTACCACCTAAATATCATTTTCCACATATTTTCCCTTAATGCCATACATGCCGTGAACTTCATGTTAGTATTCCATAATTCTAGCCATCTCTCAAAATCGATGTTATAGCCGATGTCTATTGCCCACTTAGTCATAACCTCCTTCACCTCCTCGTCTTTTGTATACCACTCCAATAAAATATCGTATATTCTAGACAGTATTTTGTTCTTTCCTTCAACAACTTCCACATTGAATTTGGATTTTTTATCTTCGAATCCTATTTTCTTTTTATCTTCTTTTAACAGGTCATTTACCTGGTGGTATTGCAACCACCCAGTAAATGAGTTTTTAATCTCTTCATAGGGTCTAAGTTTTATACCTTGATCCGTTTTCCTAGTCAGTTCTTCATAGGTAGGATTCTTCCCTTCCATATTAACTTTTTGACCGTTAACACCTCTGTTGGTGAGATCCACCAGGGTGTCTTCCTTTCCAATAGGTTTTTATTTCTTTCCCATACTTGGAATATTGGCCCTCTAAAAATATGGTTTAAAAAAGCCTCTATGTACTTTCACCTTTTCATACCACAGGTACGAGTGCCACCCGTACCTGTTATCGAAGCCTTCAAGATCCAAGATGTCTCTGTTTTCTAGCGTTATCCAGTCTTTCAACCATGATAAACACGCCGCCTCATAGTATAAACATAAGTCCGGAAGGGAGAAGCCCCCTCTTTCTTTTCTATCTACCAGTATTTTCATTTTTATTCGCGGTCTTTTTCCCTGCCAGATGTATCTCGCCAAGGCTCTTTGCCATTCTTTACATTGCTTTAAACCTTTAAGTACCGGGATGGTTTGAAATAAAAATAACATTCTAGGCAAAACGTTCATTTTAATAACCGCTATCCTCCCCAAAAAAGATAATCTCATTCTCTCCCAGATTTCTAAGTCTTTCTTAATGTTCTTCCAGGTGACCTCATAGTTATCCTTATATAGATTGATGTTCTTAGCCGTAATCCAGACTCCAAGGTACTTCACCTTCTTTGCCGTCATAATTCCGGTTTTTTGTTCTAGGTCTACTATATCTTCTTTAGATACATTTTTAGTCAGTATTTTAGTCTTATTCTTATTGACCTTAAAGCCTGCCACAGCACCAAACTCTTCAATTTTTGTAGGGCTTCTTTTACACTGTGCTTTGGATCTTCTAATGTTAGAGCAATGTCATCCGCAAAAGCTTTAATTTTGTGTTCCTTAGTTCCTACCCTGACTCCTTTAACCTCTGCTGTATCCCTCAGCCTCTTAGTAAGTACTTCCAATACTAAGATAAATAATAGGGGGGACAGAGGGCAGCCTTGCCTCATCCCTTTAGAAATATCAAAAAATTCTGATGTAGTATTATTTATTATAAGTTTTGCCTTTTGCTCATGATAGATAGCCTCTATACCTTTTCTGAATCTTTCTCCCATCCCCATCCTTTTCAAATTTTCCATCAGAAAGCGCCAAGAGACATTATCGAATGCCTTCTCCGCATCGATAAATATCAAGGCCGCCTGTTTATCTATTCTAGTTTCCAGGTATTCAATAATATCTATCACATTTCTTACGTTATCCTTTAGTTGTCTTCCTGGTAGGAAGCCCGTTTGATCTTTATGAATTCTATTTTTTAATACCCTTTTTAGTCTTTCTGCCATTATATCCGTAAACAGTTTATAATTGTTATTTAATAACGAAATCGGCCTATAGTTCTTCACCTCTAAGGCATCCACATCTTTTTTAGGTATTAAAGTAATATATGCTTCCTTCCAGGTATTCGGAATCCTTCCCTCTTTTAAAATATTATTCATCACTTCACATAGAATTGGGCATAATTGCTCACTTAATGTTTTATAGTACTTGGCTGGTAGGCCATCCGGCCCTGGCGCTTTCCCAATTTTCATCTTTTTATTGCCTTCCTTATCTCATCTTCTGTAATCCTCTGGTCTAATAACTCTTTCTCTTCTATGGCAATCTGTTGTAAATGGTGATCTTCCAGGTATCGGTCTATTTCATAATCTATTTCCTTTCCTCTTTTATACAATTCCTTATAATACGTCTGAAATATCCTTTTTATTTCTTTTGGCTCTTCCACTATCCTTTCTCCATCCCTTATCTTGCAGATCGTATTTTGTTTTTCCTTTCTCTTATTTGCCACGCCAAGAATTTTCCTATTTTATTAGCTGATTCAAAGTTCTTTTGTTTCATCATTTTAATTTTCCACTCAATTTCCTGGTTAACTATCATAGAAAATTCGGCTTGTAATATTTTTAAATTTTGCTTTATTGTCTCGTCACCTGGTTTAGTAGCTAGGTGTCTTTCATTCTCCATAAGCTGTATTAGAATCTCTTCTTTTTTTTCTCTTTTTCTTTTCTTAAATGGCTGTTTTTCTGAATTAGGAAGCCCCTCATAACGGCTTTTCCTGCATCCCAGACCGTTTCTATAGCTGTTTCTTTGTGTAAGTTCCACTTGAAGTATTCTTCGATTGTTTCTTTCGCCTCCCTTACTATCTTTTGATTATTAAATATACCTTCATTCAGAGGGCTAGTTTCTACCCACACCCATTCGTCTCCATTCAGTCAAGCAAAATGCATTATCAGAATTCAAGGACACATTTCAGCCAGGCAAAAACACTCAAGGAGGATACAAAGCAGGGCCAGTAAAGTGTGTCACCTGAGGGCCAGAAGGCTTATAGGGCTGTATTTGCCCCCCTCCATGGTGCCTGAGATTCTCCACACCTGCAATTTATTAGAGCAGGTCTTACTTTAAACATGAACCCAACCCCATACCATCAGAAGCCCTTGTATATATACAGCTGTGTGTATATATACACAGAGGACTCTGTCCACATCATCAGGAAGCAACAGGTGGCAGGGTTCCTGATCACGTGGAAAGAGCCCTCCATGCTTATATGTACAACGGTTCTGCTCAGAAACCACATGATCATGCAAAGGGGGAAATGCCATTCATAGTCACTGAGCATGCAACCTCACTGCCTGAATGTACCAAATCCATAGTGTCAACCTCTCCCACGTAATTCTTTACCAAGAAGCTTGGTAAAGATAAGAGCAACAATGGATATTGTTTCCTCTGCTTTCAAGACTCTGAATCAGCAAAACCCCTTTATGAATCTTCCCTTTAAAGAGGAAGTTGCTCCATTCCAAGAACTCTGTCCCCTTGCCAGAGTCTGTTGAAGAAGCCCATTTTGGATCCTGAGAGCAGGAATTAAGGACCACTTCTCTCATGTGAAGACATCTTCCCTATACAGATAAGAGAAGTGGCATATACACTACCACATATGATTACCATACAAATGGATGCCAGGAAGGCATAGCTGGCACGAACTATCAATGAAGAAATAGAGACAATGTGTGTAGTCCTCATGAGGATGTGCAGAGATGCAACACATGACGTTTCCCCATGTAGACAGCAGCCCCCCAGGGTTATAAACAGATCTTCTTAGATGCCCATAGATCTCTTCTTCTGCACTACCCCACAAACGTAGTAAGAAAGCACTGAAGATATACCCCCATAGTCTACTATTGTATTCATTATATTTTAATATTCCTGCTTATAAACCCAGCATTTGACAGCACTTACGGACTGGCCTGCCCTGTGTATTATTTTACTGTTATTTATATTATTTATTAAATTTGTATATTGCCCTTCATCTGCAGATCTCAGGGCAGTAAATAATCTTCCTTTGGGAAACCCAAAGGAGTTCATTTAAAATTGGAGCTAATTCAGGACAAAACTTTTGAGATGATTTGGGTTGTATTCAACTAACTTTTATTTATAGCAAATCCATGGAAAGTAATAGACCTAAGTTAGGCATGGCCATTAATTTCAGTGGGGTCAACTCCAAGTAAAAAGTAGTTAAATGCAAGCCCTCAGATTTGGTTCTTTTGGAATAAAGGTCACTGGGAGCTAATGGTGTTATCCGTGGTGTGAAATTTACTTACACATAAAGGTAAAGGGACCCCTGACCTTTAGGTCCAGTTGCGGATGACTCTGGGGTCATGGCGCTCATCTCGCTTTACTGGCTGAGGGAGCTGGCGTACAGCTTCCGGGTCATGTGGCCAGCATGACTAAGCCGCTTCTGGCGAACCAGAGCAGCACACGGAAACACCATTTACCTTCCTGCCAGAACAATACCTATTTATCTACTTGCACTTTGATGTGCTTTCAAACTGCTAGGTTGGCAGGAGCTGGGACCGAGCAACAGGAGCTCACCCCGTCATGGGGATTCAAACCGCCAACCTTCTGATCGGCAAGCCCTAGGCTCTGTGGTTTAACCCACAGCGCCACCCGCTTACACTTACATACTAGCTAATAATAAAAGGGAAGGTTCACAGAATTAACACACCAACAGATCTTTCTCCCCCATTAAGTTTTAGAGGGGAAAGGGTCCAGGGCTTTGGACTCTACACAGTACACTAGTCCCAAGACTGCTGGATTGTTCTCTCTCGCCACCCACCCAGACCCTGAGATCATCACTTCCAGTTGGTTGAGGTGGGAAGACAGACAGTTCTTCAACTCAACTTCCAGAGCTATCTCCAGCTAGTTTCTATGGCAACAGTTTGGCCCAAACTTACTAACAAAGTAGACACTTAACTAAGCTATTTACCCAACAAAAGGACTAGTTTGGCCATCAACAGTCTCTCTTTCTGCAGAATCCAATCTTATAGCTAGAACAAAATAGCCGAAAACCTATTTAGTCCAACCACAAACATATTACAGAATGTTGCAACACCCCATGGAACTATTGCTCCGAACATACATACAGATTTCTAAAGCCCTAGATCCCCTCCAGCCTACATAATGCAGATCACCTCACAAGAACTCACTTCAGCTAGAGCCCCAGTGCATTTAGGGAGCCACTTGGAAGCTATTCCTGTGGGTTTGCAGGTAGATGAAAAAAGACAAAGAGTATGCCAAAGGAATTGGCTTGAGCCAACATCAGAGACTTCCTTGAGAGTGTTGCCATTGAGGCACCAGCGGAGTGTGTAGGAGGGCGGCTGCACAGCTTGTAGAAACCCTATTAACAGGGCAAACATGAAACCAACACGACACCCACAGAAACCATAAAACCCACTCAGCCTGTCCAGAGACAAGGAAGGAGGCTTGAGAATACATTTTAATGAGTACTTTGGCTTGCGTCATGATAGTGTTCAAGCTACCCATTGCCGTTTTGTGGGCTTGGCCTGCCATTGCATGAAGGCACACCCGTCATCTGGGATCATAAACCACAACCGAATATCACAGTGCTGCATGAGTTTGCCCCATGGGTGTGGCAGCTGAAGAGGCAGCCAAAGTCAGAGGACGTTCCCCACAAGCCAAGCCCCGCATTAGGCAACCGCTCTATGTTGTTCAGTACAAGGTTTATCTGTGAACCAAAACAGCTGTAACTTGTGTAGGTGGACAGATTCTGGATTCCTTGAATGTGATGTGCAGGACACTGAAAGGCACAGTAAACCAGGTCCAGCACAGAATCAGAAAATGCCAGCAGGTCATGTGATACAGACTCTAGAGATGTTTATCCTGAGATAAAAGGCACACCTAGGTGAGATTCACAATTGGATCTCTCATGGCTTTTTTTTTTTTTTTACATAGATATTAAATAAATTCACCATAACTAAGGAGGAGCAAATCCAACTGGGAACGCTGTATTTTTAAATAGTTTTCACCCTTGCAGTTTCCCCCAAATTAGCCTCCCTCCCCTGCCACACAGTTATTTGGCCTGTAGGGGAAACACATAAAGGTAGCCGTTTGGTATCACTGATCTCCAGCTTTATCTGGTTGTGCCCTAAGACACAGGGTGTACCTATGGTATGTCTCAGGCACAGTATCTTTGTAGTTAAAACTCTTCAGTAGCATCAGGGTTCAGCAGGTAAAGACCATTGTCCATCACTAGAATTGTTACAACAATGACGTGCATCTTGTTAACAAATTATATACGGGAAGCACGCTGCCAAAGAGAAAACCTAATATTTCTTAAAGTAAGATTTGTCCAAGCTAAGACTGTTACCAGTCCTTCTGTTTGGGGATCAGCATGCAGTACAGTGCAAAACCTATTTTCTTAAAAAGTAAGTGTCCTTAGGATTGCTGCCTATGTTATATTTTGGCTGTGTACACACCATATGTTTAAACCACATTTCTGCCCCTGCAAACAAAATAATCAGGGGTTTACTCCTCACAGAGGTGTAATTCCCAGCACCCTTAGCCAACCACAGTACCCAGGATTCTTTTTTTGGGGGGGGGGTGTTGAATGTGCTTTAACTGTATGGTATGTATATCGCCTTTATCTCTCAAGATCTTTAAACATGCAGAGTGGGGGCTTTAGTAGAGTTACCTAGCAAGCCTTTAGTAGAGTTTACCTATAAAGTAGGTAAACTACCTATTTAGTAGAGTTACCTATAAAGAAAAACTAGGCATCTTATAGGGTTTGCCTCACCAAGTTATACTTATACAAGACCACCTACCTCGTTCCTAGGGAGAAAAGGGTTAATACTTACCACAATGGCCAGGTTAAATAAGACCATCATGACCTTCAAGAAAGTGAAGCAGCTCATCTTGATTGCTATAAAAAAATTAAGGAGGAAGTTAACTAACAGCAACTCAAAAGCCTCTTAGTTTAAAGAGATGTAATCCCAACTCATGATCCAGACATTTGGGCACAGGGTTAGTACATGGTCCAATGCAAAGCAGGTTCACTAGGAATTCTCACTGGAAGATTCAATGTAGTAAGCATGCTCCAAATTGCACCTTCAGAAGCAGGTGGAACTTATGCAAGAGTACACCATAATCCAACATGCTCCTCATGCACACAGACACAGACACACAGACACAGAGAGAAACTGCTACGTTCTTCTTCAACTAGATTAAAATCCCTTTCTCTCTTGAATCAAAACCTCTTTTGGATACATATTTTAGGAAACTTCCTCCCCACTACATTCTACAGAGCATTAGAAAGATACTTTAGTAAATGAAGAAGAAATAGAACTTTAAGCATCTCTGGTGGCAACAGCACCTTTTGCCATAAGGGAGGGGACCAGTTAATGCCATTTTGCCAGGGCAGCAGTGAGGAAAACAAACACCTGGTGAACGGAGGAGAGGACTTTGAAAAAAGATCTTTCCCCTCAACCTCACTTTGCTATCTCCACCTGGGAGCGAATCAAAACAAGGAGCCACAAGACAACATCATTTGGTACTATCAGTGGTACTTGGTATTCCTGATCCATCAAAGTGAGCTACCTAGTAGCCTAGTCGTTTACTTTTTTGAACCATGTCAGTTAAAGCAGCAGCTTTACAAACCTTGTACGGTCAATTTTAATAAAAGACAATTTGTCCTCTTCACATTCCTCTGTAATTTTTGTGGGAAGATTTCAAGGAGGAACCACACTGAAACAAGCCGCCCTTAAACGAGCTTTCTGCTTTAAAGGAAGAGACTTGAATCTACTTTGCAAACTGATGCCAGTAAACACAGATGAAACACACATCAGTCTCCTTCTTCAACAACAAAACCTTTACAGACCAAAAAAGTTCCATAGACTCACCTTAAAAGGCAACAACCAACTCGAGAAAAAGACCTGGACAACTCCCAGCTACCTTTCCAGTAGGCAAAGCAGTCAGCTTTTAAAGTAAACTGAACCAGCTGTTGTTTCAGGCTATAATAAATATCCCTTCAGCCTATAAGATGTATCCCTTTTTCAGGCCAATCAAATCTCTCTAAGGGCAAAAACCACACCTCTCTAGCACTTTAAATTATTTTTTTTTTTAAATTAAGCAACAGGGAGTAGACTAGTTTTCTTTATTCTTTACTGCCCTCTGATGGCTGTAGGTGAATATTTATTAATGCATAAGAATTTTTAAATGTACTTGCACATGCATGTACACCAAGGGCAGCAAAGTCCTGCTACCTGGAAGTGTGTGTGTGTGTGTGTGTGTGTGAGAGAGAGAGAGAGAGAGAGAGAGAGAGAGAGAGAGAGAGTTTCTGTGCATGCAAGTGCAGTGCCAACAACAGAAATGGAAACTGCTGCCATAGCAGTACATTCCACACCTAGCCATGGTCCTCTCTGCCTTTGCAAGTGACAGCCTCTGGTGGTGGAATTAAAGGAGGAGCATAACAAGCCATGAGAGGAAGATACACAGTGCTGGACATGCTGGCTTGCTCAAGCCACTCATTCTGCTGCCACTGATGCCAGCAGACATGCTGCCCATCCTGACACCCTGCATGAGCTTCTCAACCAGAGTCAACTGGTGTCAACAAGTCCACAAAACCACCACCAGACGACAAGAGTATATTCAGGGGCTAGGTACAGTGGCGGAGCTTCATGCTCCAGCACTGGGGGGCGGAGAGCAACTGGGGGCAGGGCTGGTACATGTCCTGGGGGCATGGCACACCACCCGCAGAGGCGTGGCATGCCACCTGCGGGGGCATAGCGCCCAGCGCAGGTGGGGGGAACAGCCGCAATGGCACCTCACCGGGATCGCACTACCAGGGGCAGTGCATTCCCCCTGCACTCCTCTTCCTCCGCCACTGGCTAGGTAGACTTACTTTCTCAAGTGATTTGTTCTACATGGACTGTGCCCTCCTGTGGTGCAACAGGTCAGTGTGTCTGGCTGTTATTCAGAAGGTTGGTGGTTCAAGCCCACCCAGGGGCAGAATTCCCACACTGCAGGACCTTAGATGACCCTTGGGGTCCCTTCAAACTCTACTGTTCTCTGATTCTATGACTCTAATATTAATGTATGCAGAATATAAATTCAAAGCTATGAAAGCAGTCCCTGCACTGAGCCACTAGGAGGACCTCTGTCATCACATAAAAAGCCGTGGAGTGCAACGGTCTACATGTCAGACTTAAGCCTCACTAAGTTCATTCCCTGCCATCTGAGACAATTGTCTCCATTGGCCATAATGGGCCAGCTCTGCTTCCAAGTCAAGAAATTTTTGGCAGCCTTTTGAAGTTGGGGACTGAAGAATGGCAGCTCACACTAAAATAATCTTAAATGGGCATTCCCAAAAGGCAACAATAGGGACTAGACTGGGAGAATGACACTCCAATCCCAGTATATAGGGACATTTAGAGCATACAGATTTTTAGCAGCCTCTTCCTATAAACAAAAACAGCTCTCCTGCATCAGACCAGAAGCTCATCTGGTCTAGCATCTTATTTCTCAACCACAGTACCAACCAGATGCTTACAGTATGTCCACGATCAGATCGTGAGCCAACCCACCCACACAGCAAGATGAGATGACAGCAGGATCCACAGGGACAGCAGATTCGACCTCCAAGGAATGCATCGCCTGCTGCTGCAAAGGCTGTGGTGTGCTCCTTGGAGGCTGGATCTGCCTCTTCCTCAGCAGCCCACCCCCATGTGTCTGACAGCAATTCGGGCCTTGCCACTGTGAAGATTTCCTCAACCTCTGCTCCGACGTACATCAGCAACTCAAGCTTACAGACTTCAGCACACTTTAGTATACTGCGCAACAGAAGAGGCTTGAGGCTGTAGATACATGCTAAGCTACGCATTTATTAAACATAAATCAGAACAAAGAAACATGTCATCTCTCCTTGCCGTCTTCTCGGAAAAAGAGCCAAAAACAACAGCTATACAGAGCGCCAGCAATCTGCACTGGAATGTAAACAGACATGTGACATGCAACAATCCCATGTCTGCAGCAAAAGGTGGAATGGAATCCCAATAGTGTCCTCCACAGTGGTCTCTTGGCAAATAGGAGGCACTGCTGGTCTCCTCCCACCCCTAGAGATGATGGCAGGGACTTGTCTCTGGGGTCTCCCGGGCTCTGCACCTATCCAGCATGATTCAGAGTGGGCCCTTCCACCTTGCCCCCATGGCAGCCTTTGATTCTCAGTACAACCATCAGGCGAGGTTGATATGATTCCCCTCCTAGTTCCTAATGTATATTTTCAGTCACCTCCTTGCTTCCAATATAGATCTTCACTCCCTGCCTTATTCCCAATGCAGATCTTCATTCATCCCTTCTTCCCTTGCAGGGAAGCGGGTACCATTTTGTGGTTTGTCTCAGGTACTAAAATTGCCAGGCCCCGAATGAAGTCCATAGCCTTCTTCCGCTTTTGTTCCTCAGTAAGTGGTATTTAATGTTGCCTCTGATCCTAGAGATAGTACACAGCCATCCTGTTTCCTATAAGAACAAGGACAGAGGTCACAGAAAGAGTGGAGCAACAGTCACCTGTGGTGGCATTTCTGGGCCTCCTGCAAAGAGACCACGTGCTTTGCATGCAGAAGATCTCAGGATCTGGGACTTGCCTGTCAGAATAGTTAAGATGAAGCTAGCTAGGCCAAATGTGTGGCAGTTCCACATGCATTTATCCAAGTAGTACCGCAATCTTGACAAACCTAACCTGTTTAACAGAAAACACCAGACAGCCAATGGCATAAGATAAAAGTGAACCAAATCCATTTACCTGGGTTTGTGAAATGCAGTTGGTTTTCACTGCATTTCCAAATGTCCCAGACGTGTTGTGACTTCATCTGACAATCAGCTAGTTGTCCCAATGGTGCAGCTTCCTCTAGATGCTCAGCTTTCTTTGAACCTAAGAAAAATCCCATTTCTACAGAAAGGGGACAGTCATTTTGAGGGAAGACAGAGACTAATTACTTTAAACGTCAGAGAGTACAAGGAAGCAAGATCGTGTAGAACAGGTCACTGCTATGATCAGAGCTTGAGATGCTTTATTCAATGTAACTTTGAAGGATCATATGGATGATCTATTTCAGATCTCTGGAAGCCTGCTTCAGTGTTTGCCCAAGTCTGCAAGTAGCTGTGGTCACAATAACAGGGCTGTTATTAGGGGATGGCCAAAACAGGGCCATAACTTGTGTATATTAGGGAAAGTATGAGAAAAAAGCATCCATTTGAGAACATGACATGCAAAGGTGTATTTAATTAAGGGAAATGGCTCGCAAAAATGTGTATATTGAGAGGAAATGTGAATAAAATGCTGCCAATTTTGGGTGAGAAAGAAAGGAAGGAAGGAAGGAAGGAAGGAAGGAAGGAAGGAAGGAACCAATACAGAAATGTTGGTAACTGAACTTAATTAAGACCGGAAACGTAAGAAACTGAATTTGACAAATTCATCAGTTGCTACTACAGGCCTTTGATCTAAATGGGAAGCGTATTCCAAAATTGCCCGGGGCAGTTTTAACTCTAAAATAAAAGCTAAATCAAACATACCTGTCATCTATAGTTTGACCCCTGAGCCTAAGATGATCAGGGATCTACTGCCCTTAAGAGAGCTAACCACCCTTTGTGGGTGTCTACGCTCAACACATGGATGTCAAGGAGTGGAGCAACAGTAGAGCCCTGGAACACCTTAAATCACGTGGAGCCCCTTCATGCAGTTAGTGCACAAAGAGTCTCGTAAACATGAACAAGGCCATTGGAGGTAATGAATCCTGTGCTCCTGAAAGGTGACCCAGGTCTTCTACATAGTTGTTCTGTCTCTGTACTCATTCCTTACCAGACTCAGATACATGTCTGTAGATCACACTGTATGCAGGCTTAACACACACACACCCTTCTAACACTGTGTCCACGTCCATTCATTCAAAACCACACTGACTTCCCTTTCCTATTACTTTCAGGCAGGTGGGAAGCCCCATATATTCTGCCTCTAGGGCTTTTCAATCAAGTAATTCACCAGCTGAGGTTGGAACAGATACCCTAGTCCTATGATAGTTCATCTCCCACCCTTTTGGCCAGATAGCCATGGCTCTCCCTGGGTTGACTTTATACAGCCTTCCTTTTGCAACACATCCCATTGCTACTGGACTACTGTATACAAAGTGCTAGTTACAGAATTCAGAAGTGCAGAGGGGTTTTGCAAAATGAGGGCAGTCAAGCTGTGGTTATGTGAGAATCTCATTACTCACCTACCCAACCGAACCAGCTCATGTCTTCATCTGATGCAAGGCTCCTACACGGCTAATAAGGAGAAAGGGTTTCATTAGGAATTCTGATTCTTCCAGCCTTTTAAATTACAGCCTGCTGTCGAGTTCTGCTTTCTGTTTCAAATTCCTTTACACATCCAGTTCACTTTACTGGAAAGGGGAGGTTTTGTTTTGCATGACTATTTTTTTGGCATGAAGATCTAGGTCCCCCTCCCCCCGCCCTGTCCTGACAAAAAAATGCTTCCTTTGTTCTTACTGTGAGATCATTTTTACCTAAAGTAAGTCAACTAACTACAAGTGCTTTATCAGCCAATAAGTGTAATATAGCCACTGATGCAGTATAGTCTATTAGGCACACAGAATCTCTCAATATGTTCCAAGCATGTTAAAAAACAATTAAAAAAACCCCATTCTTCACCATTCTGAAAACTGTATGACAAGTGTTGCTGTCAGGTGAAGCAGAACAAGTTGTGGGTAAATTAATGCACAAGAAACCCACTCACTGCATTTGAAAAAGAAAAATAACATCAAAAGGCAATTCATCATTTTTGAGCCCATTTCTCACAAATGAACTTACTAGGTAACTTCCTAACTTAAATGTTTCCACTGTCAACAAGTTGAAAGTTAACTTCATTTCATTTCAAAGACTGTTTAAATTAAATTTATCTAGCTAAAAACATCATCATTAATCTTTCCTATGGCTGTCACCATCCAGTGAGAGGAGAGGGAGTGAGTGAGAGCTCTTCCTTTCACTCTTCCAGTTCCAGCAGATGGCACTGAAATGTATAGGAAAAAGAGCCCATTTATGTTCCTGTGGTGTTGGTGTTATTTTAGCTTCCCTTTCATATAGCTGGACAGCAGGCAAGACTCCAAATGTGGTTTGCAGAACTTTGAGATGAATTGAGCCTCACTGGATTTTAGGAGGACACATGGAAGGAAGTGGTATTTATTTGCTGACCACAGTTTGAGGAAAAAACCTGCTGAGCAAGACATCTGAGGTGGAGAATGGAACTGTAAAATGAAGAGGAAGTAGTAGTTTCAGGAAGGATAGCCAACCTACTAAATGAAAGACACAGTCCAGATTTTGGAAGATTTGCACTTCCGGCTTAATGAATGTGTGTTTCATGCCAGCTGATACAACTTGTCAGGCTTGAAACTATTGTGCTTGATTGAAGCACAATGCATGGAGACCCTGGCATTTCAAGATTTATGAAGGCCACACAGGACCACACTTACCCTTAGCATGTGAACTGTTGTCAGATCAGGTAGAATTCAGGTTGCCATGGCCTTCTCTCCTCTATTGGGGAGAAAATGAGAGCCTTGTTTGGCCAGCAGGCAGGAGGAAACAGTGGGTATGACAAAAGGTCAGCTTCACCCTGCCTTCCAATAGCAACCACAAAATATGGGTCAGTCTACCCAGAGATTTGCAGGTGCCAAAAATCTGCATCACACCACACCCTCCTCTCCCCCACCCCAACGACTGTGCAAATTGTGATTGGAACATCTGAATTCTCTTCTTCTCTTTGAGAGTTTCCCACCCTCTATAAAAATCATGGAGGTTGCCCTATTCTCTGCCTTCTTCCTGCTGTGGTCAGCAACCATGGAAACCTAGGTGGGTCTCACCCAAATGGTTTGAAATTGAAGGTATTCTGTTTTTTGGTTTCCTGATAAGTAAGTGGTACCTAGTTAAACTGTGTGTGTGTGTGTGTGTGTGTGTGTGTGTGTGTGTGTGTAGTTTCCCACTTCTCAATCTCTCCCTGCTTGGCTCTTCAATAAATGTCCTTATTTTGAACTGAGCAGCTAAACCAATTACCTTAACAAAGGAACCGGTTTGACTGCTTCACAGAATTCCCTTTGATAGATTCTAACATCACAGATACAGGATCATAGGTGTGAGAAGGGGCACAGGGGTATCATCCAGACTGACCCCCCCCCCCCGCCAATCCTATAACAATATATTTCAGACATATTGATACATGCCAGCTTTTCCTGCAACAAAATGTATCCCCCTTATTTCACATGATTTAATGGCAATTATTAATTCTCCTGAATTAACAAGGCTCTGGATAGTTATTTTCATTCAGCTATTCGCATCAAATGCTTGTATTGCACAATTCTTGGCTTGCAGGGGATTGGAGCAGATGATCCTCAGGGTTCCTTCCAACTCTCAGGTACTATGAATAACTAAGATATCTGGAAAAGGCCTTTTTTCCAACAAAATCTCTCTCTCTCTCTCTCTCTCTCTCTCTCTCTCTCTCTCACACACACACACACACACACACACACACACACACAGGATCTGGATGGATAAGATTAATAATTTCTACTTTCACATGGAACCAACATTTTTCCTTGAACAAAAAAGGTTGAGCTCTGTTTTCCAATAAGTCTCTAAGAAGCGGGAAAGAACAATGGATTAATCAAAAGCGACTCCAGACAGAAACGGAGACACTGTTTTGAAAACACAGGCTCAGACTGAATAGTCCTTGTACGCTCTCCCTTGTTGTGAATGTCGGCATTTCTGTGATGAGAATTCAGCCAAAGGAAAATGAACCTGGCACAAATGTTAATTGTAACAATTCGGAGGAAGACGAAAATTATAAAAGCTGAGCTTAGCCAAAGAGAGTAACAATTGCATTTTGGAAACAATGGGTTGTCTGGGAACAGATGAGAGATGGAACAAGAAGATACCCACAGCAGACAGATGCAGCTGTGCTGGCACGCTTGCTACCCAGGCTAGCCCAGAAAGAGAGGCAGTGTGGAATATTTGAACCTCCCAAGAGCCAAGGTCATATTTGGCAAGTTCTGTGCCATAATCTGCAAAGCAGTTCTCGTAACTGGTAGCTTTATTTTATTCAGCTTTACTTTTCTTTATTAAAATGGCCTCTCTCCATTTTCCTTCCTGTTGGGGCTGCAGTCTGAGGTGAACAGGGAAGCAGGAGGTGTACGATGAAGCCGGGACTGAAGAAATCTTATACCAGAACACTGCAGGGTTCAGGAAGACCTCAGGAAGACTCCAGCAAAGCTAGGCCACAACATGAAGTCTGTTCTACCCAGGACGCTTTTATTTTATTTTATCTGTTATTACATTTATATCTCATCTTTCATCCAAGGAGCTCAAGGGAGCATATACAGTTTTCCCTCTCCCTATTTCAACTTCCACAACTCTGTGAGATAGGTTTGGCTGAACTGGCCCAAGGTGAGCTTCAAGGCTAAGGGGGGATTTGAACCCTGGTTTCCCAGCTCCTGGTGCTGCACTCTAACCACTCCGCCACACTATGACCAGCTTGGGATGGAACAACTCCCACACTAGGAAAGGTCATGGCATTTGGGACTGTTAGAGAAAAGATGAGTAAGAGTTGGCGGGGTAGTAGTTTGTTAAATTATGCATGGATGGAAAAGTGGACAGAGAAAAGTTTTTCAGCTTCTCTCATAGCACTAGAACTCAGGGACGTCCAGTGAAGCTGAATGATTGAGGACACATAATAGAAAGGAGTTCTTCACACAGGCTATCCATAGTCACTAGCCACAATGGCTACGTTATCCATCCACTATGCCTCCAATATGCCTCTTGAATGAATACCAGTGGCTGGAAATCACAAGTGGGCAGAGTACTGTTGTGCTTGTGGGTTTCCTGCAGGCATCTGATTGGCCACTGTGAGAACAGGAAGCTGACTGGACGGGCCACTAGCCTGATTCAGCAGGTTCTACTTAGGTTGCTGCATTAACTAGACAGGAGGTCACTTCATGTCTTGCTCCCAGAGACAACCAGACAGCCTCTGACAGCTTCAGTATGCAAGTCTGAAATTCTCCTGCTCATACAGTTGAACACTACTTACACATACTGTATAACAACTCCTAAGCCCTATCTAGCATTAGCAAACAAACAATAGCTTGCCAAATCAGCAGTCCTTTCTGGGAGACTGAGCAGATCTCCACAGGGTCTCAGCTTCAGTCTAACATGGTCATATTTCTCTCTCTTTCTCATGCCAAGAACAAGGGGTTGAAATACCTTTCAGTCCAGTGCAGTTTGTTGACCTGTCCAGTCTAGCTATCTAAACTGTTACATAAGATATTCTGGTTCAGACAGGTAACACTTCAGGGCAATGACCCAAACATTATACTCATGTTACATCCTTCTTTAATAAAAGTACCACCACCTCACACCCAATTTGATCAAATACATAAAACAACAAGTTTTACGACCAATGAAAACACGATCTTATACAAACACAAAGTAATTATAAGACGGCTTCCTACTGATGAAAACTAGTTAGAAGTTTACAAATGAAACTGGCCACAATTCTCCTTCCCAGTCAAAGCTGCAACTTCTGCCACCGATCTGTAGCAAAAAGATAAGGAGCTGGTCCCTGTAAACAGCAGCTCCTCTTGAGTATTTGCCATACTGATTATGATACAGAAGACACAGTTTCTCAAAAATATAACAGTACTGTGCATGGACCCTTAAGCCACTGAAGATTGATGTGCTGCATCTGGACATCAGTAGCAGCTCAATAATTAATAACAGCTTTCCTTCCCCCTGCTGATCTAAAAAAAAGCATTGAAGTGGAGGAACTCTAAGTCTTAAGAATTTTGTGAAGGAAGAAATGTTTGGTGTTTCTTCCTGTGCATCCCCACCTCTTTGGTCTTTCATGGAATAAGATGATATAGCATGCACACTCTCCCCCCTCCCACAAGCTGTTCATATCTGTGCAGTTTCATTAGTGTCAGATTTGTTTCTATTTGTGAAGACACCAGAAGGAAATGACAGGTCATTGACAAAGGTATGAACACGTTTGCAAATGTGTTCACACCTGCCTAGAGGTCTAAGGACTCCAATATCGGTGTGAAGCTCGTTTGAGAAACAGTGCGTATTTTATAACAAAGTACAGGGTAGTTTAGCATTTTGGATAATGTCACGTAAACACAGATTAAAAACCTAGCACTGGAAATGCATAGTAAACGCGAGTGTGAACACAGCATTGACTGCAGCAGCCCAGGTTCTCTGTGCTGCTCTGTAACCTCATGTCTCCAGGTATTCTCACATTGCATTCAGTGGCTAATCTAACTGCTGTTTTTGTAATGTCTGCAAGAATACTGAGAAGCTGCTGCAGGCACTGGGGCGGGGGGGCTTAAATTAGCACACACCAGTTATTTGCAATATGGACAGTTTCACTGTGATTTACAACACACAGCTGCTTTTCCTGGCGAGTTAAGCCAAATTAATCCAGACTTTGCTACTTGGTGGTTAATAAGCAAAGCAAGGCACTGTGCTCCACAGATTGGGGCACAAAGTAGGCAAGGGGAATAGTTGTTTAACATCTCTCCTATGGGTGGAGTATGAAAATATATTGAAATAGCATTAATTATGAGTAATAAGAAGAAGAGTTTGGATTTGATATCCTGCTTTATCACTACCCAAAGGAGTCTCAAAGCGGCTAACAATCTCCTTTTCCCTTTCTCCCCCACAACAAACACTCTGTGAGGTGAGTGAGGCTGAGAGACTTCAGAGAAGTGTGACTAGCCCAAGGTCACCTAGTAACTGCATGTGGAGGAGCGGAGACGCGAACCCGGTTCACCAGATTACAAATCTACTGCTGTTAACCACTACACCACACTGGCTCTGGGGAGTAAAGGAGCGGGGGATGCAAGGCCCATTTTCATGACCATATCTCTCTGTGTGGAAGTGTGGCTTTTCATCAGCTTCAGCCATGAGAATACTGACAGTACTACCCACACAAGCCACTGTAGACCAGGCTGCTCAGCAAGCCATTCTCACAGTGTTCTGTAAAGAATCCACATTGACTTTGGTGCACATTGGTGCATGACCAGTTTGACACATGTCAACAGGCTAGCGTGACTTTTGCAGCCCTGAAATGAAGCTGGAGATCTGACAAATCTACATGAGGGAGCAAATAAACTAGGACATCTTCCACTAACCATAGTCTCCTGTTTTGTTCAAACCATGAATCCATGATTACTGGAACATTTTGTTTTTTTGAGCTTCATATAATTAGGCTCACAAGTACAAAGGTATTCTGTAGCCCCAGTATTGAAGTCCAGCTCTTGAGAACACCAATTTCACCTTCTGGACCATTACAGAATCAAGCAATTCCTATTTTTTCCTATGATACACTGGGTCTCAAACCTACCTGGCAGATGAAGTCCCATCTCTCAACCCTGGAAAACTTTACTTGTAACTCCATGTATGTATGCAAGTGTTTATTGTGTGGTTACTCCATAGTAATGGTTGTAGTTGTGGCAAGCTGTTCTGGAAAAGCATGAATATTTTATTTTTATTTTTACATTCCATGAACTAACTGGGATTGCTCCCTTCCTGCAAGTTGAGTCATGGTACTGCAAGCCACTGAGAGGCTCAGAAGGAAGAGTCATGCTCCTTTCCTAAACGCTTCCACACTCTGCTAGCACGTGTCAGGAAACTGACCAAGGCAATTTCCATTTCAAACCTGGGCTAGAAGCCAGTTTATGAAGTACTGTGTTACTTAAACACATTCTAGGTTGCATATTGCAGGGGTCAGGGAACCCCAGGGATCAACAAGTGTCAACTTGAGATAAACAGTCTTTCTTTTTTAGTTTAGCTCTCTGTCCTCAGATGGAAAGCAAGTCTGTTCATGTTACAGCCCATATTAATTTAGAAAACGATGTTGCATCCAGTGTTGGTCGTTCTCTCAATCTCATTTGAAACAGAATTGCTTTTTCCTTCTTTCTCCCCTTTCTGTGAAGAGTGTGCAGGGAAGAAAAGATAAAGATCTGTGCTTTCTCACCTCTGCAGTGTGATGGTTCGGTTTCTACCTTCCCCTATACATTACATCAGGTCTACGTGCCCTGCTGCAGCGAAACATTTATGGTGTTCAAACACTAAGCCTTCCAAATGGAAAAATCAATTGGTGTGATAAATGGTTCTTGGCTGGGTGAATCTAATGAGCGAGTGACAGGTGTTACAGCAGGATTACTTTTACACATTTTCCAGGGCCAACTTAGCCATTCACTTACCATCTTGTCCCAGATGAACTGCATTTATACAACCATGGATTTTCCCTTGAACAGCTTTGCTATGGATCTGTAACGTCTTGAGAAGTAAAGCAGTTGCAGAAGCAATACTTTATTAATTATTAAAACACCAAAATGAAATAAATAGCTTGCAGTACAGCTTGAGCAGACAAGGTGTTTTGACTGCTACAGCTAAACATTTGTTCAACACCTACAGTGTGCTAGGCTTCTTGGCTGTTAGTGTCCCCGAGCTAAATTGAAAGACAGATTTCAAGAAGCATACACCTACATTGCAGTGACCAAATATCTTGTTAACATATTACTTATAATGCAAATATCTTTTCTTTTTTTAAAGCAAGTAATTCATCCCAGTCACGTCACAGGATTGAAGTAAGGAAACTGTGTGCTCGCCTGTTGCAAATTAGAAAAAAAGAATTCATAACACATCTATTAGCCTCTGCAAGAACAACTATTGCTAGGACATGGAAATCATTACAATTATTAACTAGGGGCCAATGGTATCATGCAATTTGGCAAAGAGCATTATTGGAAAAACTGACACAAAATTAAAAATAGCAAGAGGGCAAAAGGAGCACAACAATTTTCATGCAGTCTGGTGTGACTTTATTGATTACACAAATAATGAGGCCTATGGTAGCACAGTACACATAGTTTACAGCATGGCCTGGCATGCATGAAGTACATATTTTATTTTATTTTCTCTTCAGTCCTTTCCTCCCCCTCCTTCCTATAAATTCTAAATAAGTAAAATACATTTTACTTATGGCCACCAATCTAAGCAATACATTTCACTATATATCATTTCATATCTGTAATAATTTTGTATTTATGCTTCGACACAACTTTGTCAAAATATTCAGAAATCTTTATCTCTGTGTTGTTGCAAGTCCAGTCAGCTTTTTGTGCATGGAATGGGAAGGAGCACACCATTTTGTTCTTCACCTCAGGCGGCAAAATGTCTTGGGCCAGCCATTTTGACAACTTTCATGATATCCATGTGGTGCAAATACGTTCATATTCTGCTCTTGTCTCTGAACATTTAGCTATGCAGCTTGTTATTTATGATGACACAAATAATAGCAAAAGTCACATTTAATTTTGACCATTTAAAAATAAGTACCTTTACGTTTGTTTTTAAAGTGACAACTTACGGGTTAATTTACCGTACATGCTCTGTTGGTCTAAACTGCATCCATAGATACAAGGAGACAAGGGCGTGTGTGGAACAAAGTGTCCCTCATGGTCATCATTTGCAATATAAGGACACTTTGGAGGAAACTGTTGCCCAAGAGCCACTGTTCTCTCCTGTCATTCTGAGTGCCTGAAGATGATTTCTGAAAGAGCACTTTAATCTACCTGCCATATCTCTGAATTGAAAAAGGGAACAAAAGCTCTGAAGGCGAAGCCAACAGAATTGTATTTGCTATGGCATTAAAGCAGCTCCTCTTACCCAGGATGCCTTAGAGCTTAATCAGTTGCAAGCCAAGCACCAGCCTGAACAAGAGAAACTCCACATGAATGCAAAAGGATAGATGAATCTTCTTTAAAGAGGCTAGAGGATTATTCTCCCATTTTCTCTACAGATTCTGAATACCCACTAATGTAAGCCACAGGAACGACTTAAATCAGAACATTTTGTGCCAGCCTGAAGTGTGCAGCTTGATCACAACCAACAGCCATAATCAGGTGCCACATAATAAACCAGAGACCTGGAACTTTTGTTCCTAGCTCTTATTATAATAGAAATAGACTTGATGTGTAGTATCAGTACAGTGGTACCTCGGGTTAAGTACTTAATTCGTTCTGGAGGTCCATTCTTAACCTGAAACTGTTCTTAACCTGAAGCACCACTTTAGCTAATGGGGCCTCCTGCTGCTGCCGCGCCGCCGGAGCACGATTTCTGTTCTCATCCTGAAGCAAAGTTCTTAACCTGAAGCACTATTTCTGGGTTAGCAGAATCTGTAACCTGAAGCATATGTAACCTGAAGCGTATGTAACCTGAGGTACCACTGCATATTCATTTATATTCACACTCCCTCCAGATGCCATAGGAGCCAACTCCTAGGGGCCAAGGGGGCTTTGCCACCTCATAAAATATTTGAGGTGGCTGTGTCCCTCCCCCTCCCCGAGTTGATGGGCATTGCCATTCAAATGGTGTCTGTACACCACATCATTGATCGATTCTGTGGGGTGGGGCTTACCTGCCGCCCATATTTTATTCAAGTTGGCGTCTCTGCCAGGTGCCTTAAGGCAGCTTACGCGGTCCAGGTGCTTCCTAATTTGTTCCTAATGAAAGAGATGAAAAGTAATGTTCCAGAAATCAGTTCTGATAGACAACTAAGCCACTCATGGGGTTACAGGGATTACTTGCAGCCCACTTTCACAATCTGTCTGTTGCCTACTCCTACTGTTCAGATATAATGAAAGAGAAGCTCTCCTTTTTGCAGTATTTGAAGGTTAGGTCATACTGTGCTAAACAAAAAATATGTCATTAATTGAAGGGGAAATTGAATTTCAAAGATTGGCATATTAAGAAGAAAAATATACTGTTGTCAAAGTTTATATATAACAATTTGAGGAACCATACAAAATCAAGTGCAGCAGTGATAGGCAACAAAATATGCCAGAAGAGATGTTGCATTTTTTTGGATCAGTAAGGGTTCTTGGGTTTCAAATAGCTTCAGAATTAGTATTAAATGGCATCAAAATGACATTTATCTACATGGGAATATTAAAAATATATATCCACAGGTGGTAATAAGAAGGCTAGTAAATAATGGTGGTAGGCATGACTAATGAACTCTTTTTCCTACATTTACATTTCCTACCTTTACATTCATTGGCTTATTGAACCCTGTAGCTTTCTAAAACCCATCAGACATATTCATGATTAAGAGACAATATTATATATTTCAACTCCAGCAAAAAGCATGAAAGAATGAATTTGAAAAGAAAGGAAAACAGAACTACTTACTAAGATCAGGAATCACTAGTTGTTAGGCAAGCTAATCACATAAAAATAATAACTGTGGATTTTGATACCACGAGGAATGGATGATCACCAGTAACAGAATATTTGATAAATAAATTGCTAGTCTCAAATGATGAATAGCATTTCGTATAGAAATGAAGAATAAAGCCAATAATAAATAAATAGAGGATGCATGTCAATGCATGCAGCTAAATAATAATAATAATAATAATAATAATAATAATAATAATTTTGTTATTTATAGCCTGCCCATCTGGCTGGGTTTTCCCAGCCACTCTGGGCAGCTTCCAGCAAAATATTAAAATACAATGCAATATTAAAATTGTATTTTAAAATTTTAAAATACAATATTAAAATCTCCTGCACTGTGCATAGGAGAGCTGTGTTAAATCCTATGGCATACATTTGAGACTCCAGTTAAAAGATGTCATTTGGTCCACAGGACAGAGTGTTTACTATATACTTATTACACTATGTGCCAGCATTAGAATGCTGTTCTTTGCTGAAATGACTTTGGACTATATTTTTTTGGTTCCCTTCACTTAAATAACCACAAATAACCACAACCATAAAAACTGGTTGTGCAATTTGGCACTGGGGGAAGGACTCACTGTCCCTTCCTTGACTCCTCTCAGTCAAGGAGTGAGCTGCTCTTACAACAGGATGGGCCTTCCAGTAATAGGTACATCTAATATGGTGCTAATACCTGCTCTGGGATTGCAAACCTTGATGCATGTGGTTGCTAAGATACACTTAATGTTCCTTAGAAGATTCACTATCACACCAGACCTCTGGGTAATTTCATCCCATTCTGGTACACTCTGCTCTGGTCGGGAGTGCTAATAAATAAGTAGCAACTTTAACATCGCTTCGCTTTCAAGAGGAAAAGGGCCCTCCACACCAGGTGAAGGAGCGGTAAAGATGAATATACCGTATTTTTCGCTCTATAAGACGCACCAGACCACAAGACGCACCTAGTTTTTGGAGGAGGAAAACAAGAAAAAAAATATTCTGAATCTCATAAGCCAGAACAGCAAGAGAGATCGCTGCGCAGCGAAAGCAGCGATCCCTCTTGCTGTTTCTGGCTTCTGGGATAGCTGCGCAGCCTGCATTCGCTCCATAAGACGCATACACATTTCCCCTTACTTTTTAGGAGGGAAAAAGTGAGTCTTATAGAGCAAAAAATACGGTACCTAATTAACTCAAGGCTAAAGGAAAATGGAACACAAATAAATGAGGCCTTCTTCTCTGGGCCAATGCTGGTTTTAAGAGCAATGGCTTATCAAAAGCTATATTAAGATAAAAATCGTAATTACAGTGGTACCTCTGGTTATGAACTTAATTCGTTCCAGAGTTCTGTTCTTAACCTGAAACCGTTCTTAACCTGAGGTACCACTTTAGCTAGTAGGACCTCCCGCTGCCACCACCGTGCTGCCACCATGCAATTTCTGTTCTCATCCTGGGGCAAAGTTAATCCGAGGTCCTACTTCCGGGTTAGCGGAGTCTGTAACCCAAAGTGTTTGTAACCCGAGGTACCACTGTACCAGACACCTCTTGATTAATAAACCATTGCCCCAAATACAATTTTACCAGAAGTTGTTAGCTCTTGCAGGTTTCTGGAAAGGGTGTGGGTAGAGGGAGTTGGTGTACCACCTAGTGTAGCACATCATCTGTGTGCAGGTTAGGCATATAGGAAGCTGCCTTCTACAGTGGTACCTTGGGTTACAAACACCTCGGGTTACAGGCACTTCAGGTTACAGACTCCGCTAACCTGGAAGTAGTACCTCGGATTAAGAACTTTACCTCAGGATGAGAACAGAAATCACGCGCCGGTGGCACGGCAGCAGTGGGAGGCCCCATTAGGTAAAGTGGTACCTCAGGTTAAGAACAGTTTCAGGTTAAGAATGGACCTCCATAACGAATTAAGTTTGTAACTAGAGGTACCACTGTACTGAGTCAGACACTACCATCTAGGTCTGTATTGTCTAGACTCTACACTAGCTGGTTATGGGTCTCCAGGGTTTCAGATGGGAGCCATTCCCAGCTCCATGTGGAGATTGTGGGGGTTATCAGTGCCCACTGCTACAGTAATGGACCTTGGCAGGTGCCCCCAAATATTGACACCTGACACAAGCCACCCCCCAATCCACCATGTTATGACTGTGTGTGTTCCAAAATGCTTGTTTTCCTGAATCTACTACGAGTTTAATCTAGACCAGGAAGTACTGGTTGCTGCCTCAAATTTAATTTAATGAGAATGCTGTATTACTCTCAGCATCTGCAATCTTGCAATACTGTCACCGCCTTGTACCAAACCAGCTGTATTTGTGCTGTATTTTGCCCTTTTTCTGTAACGCCACACCATAATCCTGCCATTTTACCAATTCCATGATGCCCAGTGTGTCCTAAAGTCAAATGTACATGAGCTAGGATGGCAAAGTGGTTCTGTTCTTAAGAGCAAAAACCCACCATGCACTGGGAGTCTGAGCAAAGACGAAAGTGGAGAAAAGCAGAAAGGGTTTTTCTAAAGATGAGCACACAATTAACAATACTGAAAGAATGACAGCAGGAGTGTAACCTAAAAAGGCTGTCAGATTTTTCAGAGTTCGGAAAACTAAACTGGAGGCAAAGTTTGTCCTCCATGTTGCTATTCCTCATCACTGCTTCAAAATCTGGAATCATCTTCCAGCAGACCCTTACTCTTCCAGCTTACAACACAGGGACCATTGGGTGGGAGTACTACATGGCTCCCCAATCATCCCTTCCCTCTGACTTCCACGTGCTGAGTGTGGATATCCGAGTAAGAAAAGCCTATCTGTGCAGTGTAGATATAGCGAGTGAAAGCGGCTTAGGTGTTAGACCTTTTCTGTACTGTCCATCAGTCTGGAAATTCATCACAGTGAAAATGAGACATGGGCAATTTTCTCTCTAGCTGGCACGTTGCAAAATAAATTGGGTTGTTGGCTTTTGTTTTGTTTCTTCATGGCAGTTTAAATCCAGTAAGTCTTTGTTCATTCTGTCCAACTATAAGGTATGGAAATACAAGGGATGTCTCATTTGTTATTCCAAATGTTAAGTTGTTAAAAGACATGCTGGCACTGAAAATTACTCTTTCAGTTCCAACATTATTCAGTTGTAAGGAGCCCCTGGGATTAATTGACACCATAATCTCTTCTTGCTCAGGTCTTTCTTTCTCAACCAGAATTTAAAATAATAATAATAAAGGTCCTTGTCAAGGGTCTGACAGTAAAAAGACTAAAGGGGGTGGGATTGGATTGGTGGGGATGGCAAATGTGTGCTCATTCATCCTTCCTTTCTGTACCACCTGCATTCTAATTCAGAAAAAAACAACCACATGTCAATAAATAAAGCTGCTCAGAGGTTTCAAGCTGCAATGTCAAACATCAGCAAAAGTGGGAGGAAATGTAGTCCATCTGAAGGGTCACAAATTCCACATCACTGGCCAAAGCAAGACCTCCCCAGCACCCATGTCCAATTCATTCCAGTTAGTATTATTTTTCAAGCTGCTCAACAGTTGCATAGTGGCAGGGTTGAGCTGGAAGCAATACAAGTGCAGGCTGCTTGGGTCTGAATGGTTGCCTCCTTCAGTATGAGAATAGTGCAGTCAACTTTGTTAATTTTACTCATATGCTGAAATGTAAAAGAACTCATTCCTTTCCCACTGCCAAATTGTGCAGCTAAAGAGGAACAGGGAAGCAGCTATAATCTGTCATCTAAATCCGCAGAGAAGTATGCTTTTAAATTTAGTTTTCTAAGTTACTGATTTTCAAGGTCTTACTTTTATTATAAGAAAGTAAGGCTGGGTGTGTGCAGGCAAGTATTGTTGGTTTCATCCAGCCTTCTTTCCTTTCCCACTAAATCTGCAGAGGGGGGAACCTGTGGTCCTCCAGATGTTGCCCATTATCCCTGGCCCAATAGCCATGATGGGTGGAGCTGATGGGAAATGAAGCCCAGAAGTATCCAGGGAGCTACAGGTTAGTCATCCCTGCATTAAGATAAAAAGGGGCACTGACCAATAAGGACTGGGGATGTGCTCTCAGTGCCTACAGCTTGTTCAGGACTGTTGCCCATCGGGGAATTTCTCCAAAAGCACAACCATGTACGATTCCACGGTCGTCATCTGCAGCGGCGTGACAAACAAACATTAAAAGCCTCCGAGGAAAGTGACAAACCTGCCCAGTGAGAATTGTATTACAGGAGCCCAAACACAGAATCGTAGAAGTGGAAGGGATCTTGGAGGGTCATCTAGGCCAACCCCCTGCTCCTCCGTGCAAGATCTGCAATGCAGGAGGGCTGCTGCCGGGAGGCCGTTCAGCTCCCGCTTCTTATCTGGGGTAAACATACCCAATCGTATGCAAATAGGTTGCAACCCTTGGGGTTGCGGCAATCCTCTGCACGCTTCCTTGAGAGTTAAGCACTGAAGCCCGACTTAAGGGAGCAGCCATACATTTTTAAATAGCAAACTCGATTGCTGCTGCATTCCTATTCGCCGTCACTTCCTACAGCAGTGCGGCATGCACACGTGCACATGTCTCTTATAACACCCGTTCACGAGTTCCCGGAATGAAAGGGTCAAGTTTCCCAGACGTGACTGTGCACAAATACAGCTAATATCGCCCACGGGCTACGGAGCGTGCAGGCTGCCGCTGCGTTCGCCGAATCGCTGCTTTTACTCCCAAGCAACTATGCCTAGAATAACCCCCATTGCCGCGTGGCTTCCTGCCCCTAGAGCGCCCTCTTCCGCGCAGCTGAGCAAAGCACTTTTGTTCCACGGGATGCGGACGATTCGCTCCCCACGTCCACTTCGTATCTATCCCCTTGCGCTCGCCCAGCCGACGCTGGCGGGGCAGCGAATTAAAACGCCTGTCCGATGCACGTCCTTCCTTCCTTCCTTCCTTCCCTCCCTCCCTTTTCTCCCATTCTCTTTTCCAGCTTGAGACGTCATGTCACCACACAAACCTCCTTTTTCCTTACTCCCATTTTCTTTCCTTCCTCCCTTCTCCCCCCCACTGCAGAGCTGCCTGGGCTCTCTACATTTCAGGGAACCGAGAGGTGTGTCTGCTGACATCACCAAATAAATCCTGCTCAGCAGTGCAGGGGTGTAAAATTGTTTTCAGGCAGGCGGAGGATGGCGGTGGTGATGCACAGCGTCCGGTTGATACAACTGCCTCGGAATTACTATGCATAGAAACGGGGGGGCGGGGGGAGAAAGAGGAGCTGCCCGCCGGCAACTTTGGGCCCCATCCTTCTTTCCCCTCCCGTTCTCCCGCTGCCTTTTGCAGGGGACATCCAGAGATTGCGGGCGGGACGCCGGGCGCAGTCCGCGGTCGGGAAGCGCGCCTGCTTTTTGTCCTCTCTGCCCTTCCCTCCAGGTTGCGGCAGCGGGCCAAGTTGTAACAGGTGACACGCATGGAACTAGAGGGGTTCCGGTTCCCAGAGGCTTTAGTGGAGAGTTGCCTGTAAGTGGATGGGTAGAAGAGTATGCTTTAAAATGCACCCCCCGCGCGCGTGCGCCGCATCTTGCTCCTTTCTGTTGCTTAAACAGGCTGCGCTCTGGCGATTTTGGAGGGGTGTGCGGGGAGGGTGGAAACTTTCGTTGAATGAGTCCCTGGACTGAGGTTTGCATGCTCCGCGTAGTAGCCTCATTTGCGCAGGATAGATTTTTTTTTTCTGGCCTCCCAGTTAAAACGCTTACCATTTGAGTTTGTTCTATGGGACCCTTGTTTGGGCTGTGGTCCAATAAACCTGTGGAGGTGTTGGTTGGGGTAGGGGAGCTTCTTTCTGGGGTTTATTTCGAAAGACGTTCTCTGCTTGCTCTTCGGTGATTGTAGGTTCTTCTCTCAAGCACGCTGAGCTTTTTGGGGTTGGGTCAGAGGTGGGAAAATGCATTTGCACCCTTACAAGGTTACCAGCTGGCCAGAAACAGGTGTTAAGAGACGGGACCATCCTTCTCATGTGCCTTTAACAGCAGCTTCATCTGGCTTTTCACAGCCTGGTGTGGAGAAAAAAATCATTTTCGGGAGATCCTCATGAAGCCATCCTTAAAAGGCACAGCTACAGAGACTGACTGAAAAGCTGGCAACTCAGTGTCTTTATGAAATCATTAATGTCACTGTCTTACTCTTACAGCAGAAGGCGCTGCCAAGGAATCTGCTGTTGATACCAGACTTGGAATCTGCAACTGCCTGAACAGAGAGAGGAGGAGACCTGCCGTTTTTTTGGTTCTCTGCCTCATTAAGTTGTTCAGCTGGGAACTGGCGGTACTTGTAAAGATGACCGCAGATTGATGGCCTGAGTTTTGCAGACGGTTGAGCCCTCAGGGTTTGCTTGCTTCTGACATCATTCCTTTATGAAACAAGGAGTTGTGCTCAGGGAGTTGAAACCAGGGGGAGCCAGTGGAAGGGCTACAAGTTTTTGCTTTTAAAAACCCAGGCAACTGCAGTTCTCTATCCCAGCCCCTAGTTACCTCCTTCCATCTTCTCCCAATGCCTGTGAGGATGCACACGACTGTCAAGTTTTTGATGTAACTCGGGAGCCTCCCAGCTTTCTAGCCATGGCCTCAGTGGATGGATTGCAGTACCGTGCTCTTTATGAATATAAGAAGGATCGGGAGGAAGACCTGTCTCTCTGTCCCGGAGACCTGCTCACCGTCAGCAGGGCAGGGCATGCCTGTGTGGACTATAAGGAAGGGGATGAGAGAAACCCCCAAGGCTGGCTTAATGGCTTCAATGAACGTACCAAGGAATGGGGAGATTTCCCAGGCACTTACGTAGAGTACTTGGGTCCTGTGAGGATTGTGGCTGCCACGCCTAAATCAAGGCCCAGACCACTGCCACCAATGCCAACTGGGGCACCTTCCAGTAACTTATGGGGTGAGTTCATATATATATATATATATATATATATTTCAAATGAAGTGTTTCTGTATGAGGCAGTTTTCCAGAATTATGGCAGTATTTCCTAACAGTGTGTCCTTCTGCAGCAATCTGAAGAGGGCTGTGCTCTCTAACTAGTTGGCCTTGAGCCATGCACTGAAGTTCATAGGACTTTCTCAAGCTCAACTTCCGTTGTCTGTGCACATCACTCCATTAATGGGAGTAGGGGGAATGTGCGTTCCCAAGAAACTTTCCCTGTTGAAATGCTGGCTTTGCTACTGAAGTGAGGCTCTCTTGAAAGCCCTATGATTTTACAGTTTATGGATGGTGTGGTTTGAGAGCCACATTCTCCCAGAGCGTGATGTGTGTGAACCACTCGGGAATTTGAAGCAGGGCAGGCCAATTTTCCAGCTGGCGTGTCTCTTTTTGTGTGCAGGGTAATCATTTTCATGTGAGCAGCAAGTCACATGGCTAGCCAGATATGTGGATGCCTATGCTGATGGTTGGGAACAATGTGTTTATACTGGGATGGGAATGGGGGGGGCGGGATTAGGAAGCCGCTTCTGGCTTTTGTTTTTATGAGAAATGAGGCTGACATTCTGAAATGTTCCATCTCTTTGAATTGTCCAGATGACTTGTATTAAAAAAAGTCTGCTGTTAATTAAAGGAAGGGCCAGCAGTGCATCTTCATTTGAAATATCTACAGAGGATCTTGAGGGCCATTTGAGAAGACAGAATCTGGGAGGTGACTACTTCAGACCCAAGTGTTGCTGAAGGCAGTGCAGACTTTGCAGACACATTTCACCCTGGGGGAGCTGTACTCTTCAAATCAGTATTCCAGCCATGTGATTGATAATGATCTATAAGATTACATGCATGAGAGAAAATCGTTTCCACAATTATTTTTATTTTTTCAATGTATAGTCCAAATTATGATTGACAAGTTGTGCCCCAAAAGCTGCACACAGCTGTAAATTCTCTTCGGACAGGTATAGCTTTTATTTTATTTTTTCAGTATCGACATCTGTACCCTTTGTGATTGTAGGAATAAATTGAGTATGTTTGGTGGCAAAGGAAAAAAGCAGGGGGGTGGCCTTTGGTGTTAAGCAACAAGTTGCTTACCTTTCTTGGAGCTGAGGGATGTTATTGCAAAATATATCAGCTAATGGTAAGTCTGTGTTTTAACTTGTGGATTCATTCAGTCCTTTTTTTGCTACTTGCACCGTGGCAGGGACCTGAAGAGAGAGTGAGTGGATAGAGACACAGTTGGGACTACCTAAGGGCATTTGTGGACAGCATGGTCTGTGTTAATTCAGCACTTAGCTCTTTGCACTCATGAAAACCAGGTCTAACCCAGGGTTAGAAGACCCCTGCAAATGTGCTGACAGTAAGCTGCGCACTGTGGCCAATGTGTACTCCATTATGCACAGCAGACAGATGGGCAGTTGGCCCAGGCCCACCAAATCCTTTGGAATTGTTTGTATCATTTTTATTTTATTTATCCTTCTCTTCCGCCCACTGAACACCCAGAGAGGATTACAAACTGGGGGTGTGATAGCAATATGTTAAAACAATAGTACAATAAAATGCAACATCACAATCACTCAAGGCCCACACATTTCTCTTCCCCAATTCATGTACACCACATAAATATGAGACCCCCATGGAGCTAAAGTCTCCTATTTCCTGCATAGAATTTCCATGGTAGATGTAGATGTGCTTCAGCTACATGTTAGCAGGTATATAAAGTTAGGTATTTGTGCCCATTAAAATCTTACATGAAACAGCCTTTAGAACAGGGGTGGTGGTGTGTATGCAGTGACTATGGACTTTCAGGCTGCTTGGTTTTGTATGAAAAACATAGAGTGTGGATTGCTAGGCGGGGAGCGTGCAGAAGGGCAGAGAAACTGTCTAAGCAGGAGTATTTGGTGAAGCTAATGATTTTGAAGCGGCTCCAGTATTTAATCAGAGCCATAGCAGCTGTGTTGATCCCATGGAATAAAATACTCAGAGCGGTGAGGCAATACCTTTTATTGGACCAAGCAAAAACTCAGTATAAGAAACACATTCAGGTTAACACAGCCCTATTCTTCTTATGCAGGCATATAGACAGGAGTGAAAGATGAACATTATACTCCCAGGCTGACGTTAACCCGTTAGAGCTGAGTTGAAAACAAAGGCATAGAATGTTTAACTTTGGAACAGAGGAAACTTTCCTGTCCCTTGTTTTGCAAATCTTCACCTGGTTTATGGCACAATCTTATACCTGTTTACTTATAGGTAAGTCACACTGATTTCAGTGGGGCTTCCCAGGTAAGTGGATATAGGGCTGCAACCATAAATTCATCCTGGGCATGTAATTTGTGGTGCGTATACTAGCCACATGGCAAATCTCCCTATTGCAGAGGGTGTGAATCTTAAAAAGAGAGTTTATTGCTTGGCCTTGGACTCTGAATGGGGGGCGGGTGCGTTACTGGTTTGTTTGTTTGTTTGTTTGTTTGTTTGTTTTTTGCTCGTTTTTAATTTTGTGTTTTTAAGTTGTATTTTTATGTTGTGAATCACCCTGAGATCTACAACTGAAGATTTAATAAATAATGATGATGATAATAATACTGACTGCAGAAAAATTTAACAGGCTGAACTTTTTTCTTGGGTATCAGTGGAAATTATTTCTAAATAAAATCTTCTGGAATTGTGACTTTTATGGCGCTGAATAAGTTCTGCTTTCTCTCCATACCTCCAACACTAAAAATAATCACAACAATGTTAAAGTTTTGAGAACCAAGGTACCACTGTGTATAGAAATGAGCAAACCAGTGATATTTTGGCAAGCAGGCCATTACTTACACCATAGGAGCCTACACAACACAAAACACTGTTGCTGTATGTAGGTTTTATTTTATTTGTTTTTTATCTTATATTTTGGAAATGTACATCCTTTAATTTTTTGTGGGGGCCCCCAAGAGAGTGGGGCCCTAAGCTATAGCTTGTTTAGCTTATACGTAAATCCAGCGCTGCATATTTATGATGTTTCAGGGCTACTTCTGTGTTTGGTGCCACGTGCGTGTCATTTGGACACCCCTAAACCATTTCCTTCCCTTTGCCTTTTAATTTGTATACTGCCTTTCTATATTACTAAACACAAGGCAGTTTACAGCATCAAAATATACAACAAAGAACACACACCTTATAATAATCCCATCCAAGAAAAAAAATCATAACAAAATAACTTTAAAATGGAACGACTTATATCAAATAAATATTCAATCATCTATTAGAATGTAATAGTACACAGTAAAATTAACTCTCAGAACGTCAGCAAATAATAATTAAACAGAATTTCACTCTTAACAATTATAATAAATAATTACTAAACTATTATCAATAAAAATTTGTTTCCTGCTTGGCAGGGGGTTGGACTCGATGGCCCTTGTGGTCTCTTCCAACTCTATGATTCTATGAAAATAACAATGCATAAAATACCACAATGCGTACAAAACCATGTAAAATGATCAAATTGAAAAAGACATACAACTGATAAAACTTTTTTTAAAAAAAAATATCGCTGAACTCTTCTTTCCCCAGCTGTTTCTGCTGTTCTTAAATCTATGGCCAGCTCAGCTGGGCTTGATTGCAAGTGGGGAAGGCGAGGCTCTTCTTCTTTGCACTTCCTTACTGAGTAAGCTGACTTCTGCTCAATTATTTTAGAGTTCTTATAGGGTTTTTGGGGTGGGACTTTTCTAAACAACTTCTGGCCAGAAGTACTTTGGACAGCAGGTTTGAGTTCCTTTGTCGTTTTATGAAACATCAGTTGTTGCCTGTAATAAGTATGATGCCTTGAACCAATTATTCCTAGTCATGTTGATGTGGTGGAAGAGCAGGATTAGGTCCTTAATGTATGCTGCTTTCAGGAGTATGAACAAAATTAGTTGGTCTCTAAGATGCTACTGGACAATTTTTTTTTCATTCCCCCCCCCCCCCACTGCGTCAGACCAACACGGCTACCTACCTGAATTCATTAATATAGTTATTTTCAGATGAAGTGTTGATGTGTATGCAATTCTGTTAAATAATCAATACCACAAACTTGGGGTGCCCTGGGCAGTCAGTAAAAAGATTCAGGAAGTCTGTTATTAGAATATCAGTAGTTAAACAGGACTACAGTTTTGCTCTGGGGTTTTTTCTAACCCTGTAGTTCTATATATACACACATACCTGGAAGCTCCATTGAATTCAGTGAGGCTTACTTCTGAGTAGACCTATATTGTATTGTTATAGAGACTTTGCTTTGTAAAAAAAAACAATCCTGTATTAAATGAGACAGGATTGTATTGGTTTCCCAGTTGAATAATTAAATAGAGCAGAATATTGCCCTAATACGTTGTATTCAGTGTAGCATTAAGTGAATATTTTAAAATTGCCCGTAGATGCTGGTATGTACTGGTTCTCGTCTAGTGCTTTTAACAGTAACTTCATACATTGGAATTCAGCCAATTAAATTTTATTTTAGGTGCAACTAAAGTGAAGGGGAAAGCTTAATTAATTTCTGCATGTCAGACTGCTGCTCCTTAAAGTTGACAAATCTTAGTCTGCCTGATGTTTCCCATTCCAGCTAGATATCATCTGGTCCAGAACTAAATTGCAGCACAAGGCCACTGGCTCTGTTGTTGCCTGGGAATTTAAGGATGCTCAATTGATTGCCCGTTTTATTTGCTGGGTTGCTAAGCCCAATATGGAGTGTCTAAAACAGGTGACAGGGATTGATGGACTGCTTTAAGGTTATGGATTCCTCCTTGCGAAGAGTGGAGTGTGTAACAGTTTCACTTTTATAATGCATTATTAATATATTTCCTATTGCTAAGCCCAATGCCTTTGTCTGATCGAAGGTAGTTTGCAGAGGTTTATGAAGAGTTTTGGCCAAGGGGAAGACAGGATACTTGGAAGTGTGAAACTGCTTTTTGTTTCCATCACCTCATTCTCTCTTCAAAATTTTGACTCTCTTGCTGATTATGCGTCAGCTGTTTTCTCATTCACTTGGTTTTGTTGTACTTAAATTGATGTTATTGTATTACCATGAGCTGCTTTGGAGCAGGAGGCTTCCAAGGGACAAAAGGTAGAATATGTGTCATTAATATCTATATATTTCTATTTCTATATCTATATATCATCTCCACACACACACTTACCGTATATAAGCTTCTGTTAATTTTTCATAGTTCTTGTATGCTTTTGCCATACTGCACTCTGATCATTGGTACTTACTGTTTGAGCTGACTGATTTGCACACACACACAGGGAAATCAGAGCAGATTGTTTCCTTTAAAGAGCTGCGTGCCAGTTTAAAGAGGAGATTGGGCCTCTGAATTGGAATGGACAAATAAGTTAATTTCTGGTCTGTGTCACTTTCACATGTGTTCTCATAAGTGCATTTCTGCACTAATTTACAAAAAATCACATGAAAATTTGCATCTAAATACTTGTTGTTAAATGTGTGTTCTCTCAAGACACACATTTCTGAACAATTTTTCCCTAGAAACAGGCATTTCTAAACATACTGTACCTCAAAATCCACGGCTTTAGATGTACAATGGTACCTCGGGTTACATACACTTCAGGTTACATACGCTTCAGGTTACATACGCTT